ATGATAGCCATTAGACTTTTACTTTACACATTTCAAATAATTTGTTGTCACTGCGTAGCATGCATTGAATTCAGTGTGAGACCCAGGGATCCTCCACAAACTGCACACCAGCAGAATAGAAACATAGAAACATATTGGGCAGACTAGATGGGCCGAATGGTTCTTATCTGCCGTCACATTCTATGTTTAACCAACCTATCCAGGATTTACCTGTCGACCATGCTCAATAAATAAGACCCCGACGGTAAATCCCAGATGGTGCGATGCTTTTAGGTGCGGATTAGAATGAATTTGATTAATTTTTGCTCAAGTCTACCAGCTCTGTACTCTGGGTACAGTACAATGGCAGTCATTTCCATTTTGGTGTATAGAGGGTTGTGTACAAATACACTGTTTCACCACTAGGGATTTCCTGCCTATCTTCTATTTTGCATGTGCGTTTGTGTTGTACGTTTAAACTTGACCATTTGGACTTCATCCTTAAAAATAAATAAGGGAATGTGGTGTTTTTATTCTCCTGTTTTTGTAAAGTAAATGCTTATATAGTAAAAATGTAACGCAATAAAATGATCTTAAACCTGGTGGGCTTTCAAGACTTTTCTTTGTATGCCCCGTGTAACACATTTCTTCATAATCTGATTTGAATCTTTTTTTTTTTCTTCAAAATTTGCCAAAAGTATTATGTTAAACATATGACAGTTGGATTAATTCTATTGTTGATGTGGTGGACCAGACCTCGCCACGTGTTTTTGGAGGGGGCTGCTTGCCCGCCTCCTACCTTCTGACTATGGCTCTGGGATATATGGCATTTGAGAACACTATTTGTGCCCTGTGACAAAACTGGAGATTGTGCACAAATATGACTATTATCCATATTTTTTATGATTCCCTTCGTTTGTTGCACTGTTCCCCATGTGTTGCATCTGTTGGTCCGGCTGGATAGACTACCAGACAAACTGTGGAGTTACTGGGTGGCCACCATTTCATGTATCAGAGGCACATGGTGAGAACAATGGATGAAGCACATGGTGAGAACAATGGATGGTGGCCATTTTAACTCACAGACACTGTTTGGACACGGTGCCATCTCGCCAGCATTTGGTGCACAAAGACATCATTCAGTAGTTTTAAACTACAGAACAGGGGACACATTATACAGTAATTATTTTTCATATAGCCTGTATATGTTCTGCGGAATCTGCATTAAACTGTATCTTCCAAACTACTGAACTGATCTGGGTGAATTTTGGATATGTGGTTCACCCAGATCCCCCGGTTCAGAGGATATACTTTATGGGGTTATTTCATGTTTTGGGGTCCCTGTGATATGTTTTATAATACTGTATTTTCCTGCCTGTGATAATTATATTAACCATTGTGTTCAGTAATCATATCACAGGCAGAAGGGAGGATTTTGTGTGGGAGTGTCTGTGTGTATTGTACGGATTGATTGGTTGTATTTCAAAACCCTGTGGGCAGTACTATGTTTGTGGATTGTGAATAAAAGAGGCTGTATGTGCCAGTACAGTCAGTTCTGCTTAACATCAAAACGAAGTGTCGTCTCGTTATTGGGGGAATTGGATTGTATGCTGATTGCCAGGAGTGTAAGCTGACTGTATGCTTATCCTACTCTGCTGTTTACAGCATTCATATGCTTCTCCGGTTCAGTGGTTGTGGTGTCTGCTGCAGTGCTTGGAGTCCTCAGGAAGCCGTAGGAGCATCCTTCAATGGAGGTACCCAGTCGGGGTGCCAGGTGATCCTTTACAGTTGGATACTAAATGTAACGGACCGTTTTGCCCACAAGAGGTTAAAAAACGTTTAGGCGATATTCCCCTTTCAGATGCACAGACAGTGTGGCGAAATTAACCTCGCCACTTGTACCTGGAGAGGACTACTTGCCAGCCTCTTGCCTTTAGACTATGGCCCCATGTTGAAACGCTGGATTTTCCCCTGCACAGACACGAAAGCCAGGTCATTCGGTGCTTGCCCTGTTTGAGCGGTGATACCCCAGATAGCTATGCCATGGAGCCCATTCGTATAATGAAAGACTATGTGAAAGACTTTGGCTCCATGGCAATTGAACTGTATGTGTGTGATCTGAGCGCCATTCAGTAATAATGTGCGCTCAGATCTGAGCTATCTGGGGATATGTTGAATGTACCTGTTTTGTGCAATGGCTGCACAGTTATATGTTTTTATGTATTTTATTGTCTGTTGCTGCCATGTGTTCAATGGAGTTTTGCCTCTGTCCTTGGAGATAATTGGATTACTTCCCAATTATCTCCAGGATAGAAGACTCTGTGGAACTGGCTTTTGGGCAGAAAAGCCATGCTTCGTTTGGTCACAAAGGACTTTGGACTAACTTTTGAACTTATGGAAGGATTTACATGATTTATGGTTATGTTTATATTTAAAGTATGCTGATTCTGAATATGTATGTTTTATGTGAATATGATGCATATTTTTAAAGTTACAGTATATGTGTAAAAAGTGTATTTTTCCTGCCTGTGATAAATTACATTAACCCATTGTGTTCAGTAATTATATCACAGGCAGAGGGGAGGGATTGTATGTTGGTGCTGGGTGTGTTTTACGGTTTTCCTGTAAACGATTGGTTGTACTGTGTCCCACCCTGTGGGATGTCCCCTTGCATGGGGACTTGCATAAAAGCCAGTGTGTGGTCATTAAAACCAGATCATCTTGTACCTTTCTTGAAGCCTTGGCTCATGTTTGGGGAATTGGAGAACTTCACTCTGGGGATTGCTATAATCACTATACTCCCCAGGGTATGATCACTAAGCTCTGCTAAGAGCTTGTTCCTGTTCCTGCTCTCTGGGGAAAGAGAGGTTCACCCACTAGAAGCTGGATCCTGGCCTTGGGTCTAGGGTGGGTGGAGACAGCGAGACCCCGGGCGCAGCTGCATCGCTGGAAGTGGGGTCTGCAGTGCTGATGGTGTCGGTTGGAGTGCTTGGAGTCCTCAGCGAGCACTAGGAGCAGCGATTGGTGGAGGTACTCAGAGTCAGAGTGCTAGCGGTCCGTCACAGACAGCTACTGCAATCACCAATCTCCCGAACTGCAAACTACACGAATTCTCCAACTCCCGAACAGGAAACACACGAATACTGGAAACAGCTGAACAGGAAAAACCATACGAAAGGTTTACACTCCTGGCAGTCAGCATACAATCCAATTCCCCCACTAACGAGACGACACTTCGTTTTGAGGGTCAAGCAGAATCTGGTTTACTGGGGCTAACTGCCCGGCTTTTATGCAGGTCTCCCACCTGGTGGACACTCCCCTAGGGGACTGTAGCGGAGGACAGTGGGCTGTCCTAGAAAATTCATGTGTTTTGGTGTATTCGTTTGAAATGCAATATTGTATGTATAAAATAGGCTGTATTCGTCTGGTTGTTCGGTAGAATCATTTTAGCAATTATGAGAATGAAACTACCGAACAACCAGACCTCCCCAGTGTGAAGTGTGCCTCCAATTACCAGTTGCAACAATGTTGCGAACGGGTAATTGGCAAGTTGTGCAGTAGGTCTTTGTTCTCGGGGTGGCCGCCATTCGGGAAACGAACACGTGGCGGCGGCCATTTTAAACTCCCGAACAGCGGTGTTTTGCCGTCGAGTGTCTGGAACCCAAAATGGACACTCGGCTAGGCGAACACCGCTGAGACCTCCATACGCATGGTACATTCGCTTTTAAACTACCGAATTGGCCCTCGTTCGGTAGAAAGAAACAACCGAACGAGGGGATTCAAGCGAACCCTCCCTTATCTCTATAACTTGCAGATTTCGTGTCTTTTGTTCCCTTGTACAGTGACCGACCGCAGGGTCCCATCGCCTGGAACCAGATTCGGCTATTCTATCCAGCACGGTCGGTCTTTTCTTCACTTCCATGAATTTCCCGAACCCCTGGTCCGATCTGGGTGATTTTTGGATATGTTGCTCACCAAGATCGGGGCTACCAGGGGATGTAACACTTAAAGGGGTACCCCCAGGTTTAGGGGTACATCCAGGAATGTGGGGAATTCATGTACTGTATAAGGGGATTATGAGTCATATTGAGGGGAGGAGATGTGTGGGAGGTTACCGGACCATGATTGGCTACTGTATTGATTATTGAAAATCCCTCCCTTGCATGGGAGCATGCTTTAAAAGGCCACTGCTGGAATAAAGGTTTAGTTCTGCTCCTGATACTGTGTGTCGTCCAGTTATTGGGAGTGCTGTTGGGATACTGCTGTATTGTTTTACCTGCTGGAAACTTTGCTTTATGGATTTATAATTACTTGTTCCTGAGCCTCACTGGGATCCTGAGCGGAGATATCTTGTGGAATACCAGCTCTCCGCTACAGGGACCAGATGGGAGATTGGGACACAAAGGGTACAAGAGAGTGGGACACAAAGGGTACAAGAAACAATCACAGATGGGAGACTGGGACACAAAGGGTACAAGAAACAATCACAGACTTACACATTTCAACAATCCCACAATTCATCACAATCCCTCCTCTTTGTCCTGGGGATAGCTGGGAAGTAATCCAATTATCTCCAAGGACAGAGGCAAAATTCCATTAACCACATGGCAGTAAAAGACATAAAATTACATACAGTTACATTTATTACATAAAACATATACATTCTACATATCCCAAGATAGCTTAGGTCTGAGCGCACATTATTACCGAATGGCGCTCAGATCACATACAAACAGTTCAATCGCCATGCAGACAAAGTCTTTCACATAGTCTTTTCGTTAAACGAACAGGCTCCATGGCTTAGCTATCTGGGTGAGGCTGTTCATCCGGTTAAACTACCGAATGAACAGTCATTCGGTTCCGCTCTCGAATAGGAAGGGAAGGAGGCTCGCGGCTCAGCGGTGTTCGCGCAATAAGTGTCCGTTTTCAGTTCCATAGTATTGGCGCTGAACACCGCTGGCCGTTCGGGACGTAAAATGGCCACTGCCACGTGTTCGGCAACCGAACAAAGGCCTCCCAGCATTCATCAATTAAGCTGCGGTTGCAGCTTCTGGGCAGTTCCAGCATTCATCAATTAAGCTTCGGTTGCAGCTTCTGGGCAGTCGGCACACTCCAATTCCCAGGTGGTCCATCGTTCGGTAGTTTGTTTGGTAGATGGAATCTACCGAACACCCTGGCAGAAAGGCACGAATAAACCTTTCATCAGGGAAAATAACAGCTCTGAACTGCAGGGCCATAATCTAAAGGGAGCAGGCGAGCAACCAGGCTTCGCCAGTGCATAGTGGCGAGGTTGGTTCCGCCACACTAAATAAATATCTGTACGATATTAACCTTCTCAGTCCTGGGTTATAGCTGTGGTTATTAACCCTGTCATTGCTGGGTAATAGCTCTCTCTCCCGTATAATGCAGCATGGGGTTGTGAATACTGTCAGATTAAATAATTGATATTACTGTTTAATTCCCTCTCTCTCCCGTATAATCCAGCATGGGGCTGTGAATCCTGGCAGATCCCCCTAATACCATCCAGTGCCAGTTCAATCCCCTATTACCATCCAGTGTCAGTCAGATCCCTCTAATACCATCCAGTGTCAGTCAGATCCCTCTAATACCATCCAGTACCAGTCAGATCCCTCTAATACCATCCAGTGCCAGTTCAATCCCCTGTTACCATCAAGTGTCAGTCAGATCTCTCTAATACCATCCAGTGCCAGTCAGATCCCTCTAATACCATCCAGTGCCAGTCAGATCTCTCTAATACCATCCAGTACCAGTCAGATCCCTCTAATACCATCCAGTGTCAGTCAGATCTCTCTAATACCATCCAGTACCAGTCAGATCTCTCTAGCACCATCCAGTGCCAGTCAGAGCTCTCTAATACCATCCAGTGACAGTCAGATCTCTCTAATACCATCCAGTGACAGTCAGATCCCCCTAATACCATCCAGTGACAGTCAGATCCCTCTAATACCATCCAGTGTCAGTCAGATCTCTCTAATACCATCCAGTGACAGTCAGATCCCTCTAATACCATCCAGTGTCAGTCAGATCCCCCTAATACCATCCAGTGACAGTCAGATCCCTCTAATACCATCCAGTGACAGTCAGATCCCTCTAATACCATCCAGTGTCAGTCAGATCTCTCTAATACCATCCAGTGACAGTCAGATCCCTCTAATACCATCCAGTGTCAGTCAGATCTCTCTAATACCATCCAGTGTCAGTCAGATCTCTCTAATACCATCCAGTGACAGTCAGATCCCTCTAATACCATCCAGTGACAGTCAGATCTCTCTAATACCATCCAGTGACAGTCAGATCCCTCTAATACCATCCAGTGACAGTCAGATCTCTCTAATACCATCCAGTGTCAGTCAGATCCCCCTAATACCATCCAGTGACAGTCAGATCCCTCTAATACCATCCAGTGACAGTCAGATCCCTCCAATACCATCCAGTGACAGTCAGATCCCTCCAATACCATCCAGTGTCAGTCAGATCCCTCTAATACCATCCAGTGACAGTCAGAGCTCTCTAATACCATCCAGTGACAGTCAGATCCCTCTAATACCATCCAGTGTCAGTCAGATCCCCCTAATACCATCCAGTGACAGTCAGATCTCTCTAATACCATCCAGTGACAGTCAGATCCCTCTAATACCATCCAGTGACAGTCAGAGCTCTCTAATACCATCCAGTGACAGTCAGATCCCTCTAATACCATCCAGTGTCAGTCAGATCTCTCTAATACCATCCAGTGACAGTCAGATCCCTCTAATACCATCCAGTGTCAGTCAGATCCCTCTAATACCATCCAGTGCCAGTCAGAGCTCTCTAATACCATCCAGTGTCAGTCAGATCCCTCTAATACCATCCAGTGACAGTCAGATCCCCCTAATACCATCCAGTGACAGTCAGATCCCCCTAATACCATCCAGTGACAGTCAGATCCCTCTAATACCATCCAGTGTCAGTCAGATCCCTCTAATACCATCCAGTGTCAGTCAGATCCCTCTAATACCATCCAGTGTCAGTCAGAGCTCTCTAATACCATCCAGTGACAGTCAGATCTCTCTAATACCATCCAGTGTCAGTCAGAGCTCTCTAATACCATCCAGTGACAGTCAGATCTCTCTAATACCATCCAGTGTCAGTCAGATCCCTCTAATACCATCCAGTGTCAGTCAGATCCCTCTAATACCATCCAGTGACAGTCAGATCTCTCTAATACCATCCAGTGCCAGTCAGAGCTCTCTAATACCATCCAGTGACAGTCAGATCTCTCTAATACCATCCAGTGACAGTCAGATCCCTCTAATACCATCCAGTGACAGTCAGATCTCTCTAATACCATCCAGTGTCAGTCAGATCCCTCTAATACCATCCAGTGTCAGTCAGATCCCTCTAATACCATCCAGTGACAGTCAGATCTCCCTAATACCATCCAGTGACAGTCAGATCCCTCTAATACCATCCAGTGACAGTCAGATCTCCCTAATACCATCCAGTGACAGTCAGATCTCCCTAATACCATCCAGTGACAGTCAGATCTCTCTAATACCATCCAGTGACAGTCAGATCCCCTAATACCATCCAGACAGTCAGATCCCTTATACCATCCAGTGACAGTCAGATCCTTAATACCATCCATGTCAGTCAGAGCTCTCAGTGACAGTCGATCTCTACCATCCAGTGACAGTCAGAGCTCTCTCAGTGACAGTCAGATCTCTAATACCATCCAGTGACAGGGAGCTCTCTCAGTGACAGTCAGATCCCTCTAATACCATCCAGTGTCAGTCAGAGCTCTCTCAGTGACAGTCAGATCCCTCTAATACCATCCAGTGTCAGTCAGAGCTCTCTCAGTGACAGTCAGATCCCTCTAATACCATCCAGTGTCAGTCAGATCCCTCTAATACCATCCAGTGTCAGTCAGATCCCTCTAATACCATCCAGTGACAGTCAGATCTCTCTAATACCATCCAGTGCCAGTCAGAGCTCTCTAATACCATCCAGTGACAGTCAGATCTCTCTAATACCATCCAGTGACAGTCAGATCCCTCTAATACCATCCAGTGACAGTCAGATCTCTCTAATACCATCCAGTGTCAGTCAGATCCCTCTAATACCATCCAGTGTCAGTCAGATCCCTCTAATACCATCCAGTGACAGTCAGATCTCCCTAATACCATCCAGTGACAGTCAGATCCCTCTAATACCATCCAGTGACAGTCAGATCTCTCTAATACCATCCAGTGACAGTCAGATCTCTCTAATACCATCCAGTGACAGTCAGATCCCTCTAATACCATCCAGTGACAGTCAGATCCCTCTAATACCATCCAGTGACAGTCAGATCTCTCTAATACCATCCAGTGACAGTCAGATCCCTCTAATACCATCCAGTGACAGTCAGATCCCTCTAATACCATCCAGTGACAGTCAGATCTCTCTAATACCATCCAGTGACAGTCAGATCCCTCTAATACCATCCAGTGACAGTCAGATCTCTCTAATACCATCCAGTGACAGTCAGATCCCTCTAATACCATCCAGTGACAGTCAGATCCCTCTAATACCATCCAGTGACAGTCAGATCTCTCTAATACCATCCAGTGACAGTCAGATCCCTCTAATACCATCCAGTGACAGTCAGATCCCTCTAATACCATCCAGTGACAGTCAGATCCCTCTAATACCATCCAGTGACAGTCAGATCCCTCTAATACCATCCAGTGTCAGTCAGAGCTCTCTCAGTGACAGTCAGATCTCTCTAATACCATCCAGTGACAGTCAGAGCTCTCTCAGTGACAGTCAGATCTCTCTAATACCATCCAGTGACAGTCAGATCCCTCTAATACCATCCAGTGACAGTCAGATCTCTCTAATACCATCCAGTGTCAGTCAGATCCCTCTAATACCATCCAGTGTCAGTCAGATCCCTCTAATACCATCCAGTGACAGTCAGATCTCCCTAATACCATCCAGTGACAGTCAGATCCCTCTAATACCATCCAGTGACAGTCAGATCTCCCTAATACCATCCAGTGACAGTCAGATCTCCCTAATACCATCCAGTGACAGTCAGATACCTCTAATACCATCCAGTGACAGTCAGATCTCTCTAATACCATCCAGTGACAGTCAGATCCCTCTAATACCATCCAGTGACAGTCAGATCTCTCTAATACCATCCAGTGACAGTCAGATCCCTCTAATACCATCCAGTGTCAGTCAGAGCTCTCTAATACCATCCAGTGACAGTCAGATCCCTCTAATACCATCCAGTGACAGTCAGATCCCTCTAATACCATCCAGTGACAGTCAGATCCCTCTAATACCATCCAGTGTCAGTCAGAGCTCTCTCAGTGACAGTCAGATCTCTCTAATACCATCCAGTGACAGTCAGAGCTCTCTCAGTGACAGTCAGATCTCTCTAATACCATCCAGTGACAGTCAGAGCTCTCTCAGTGACAGTCAGATCCCTCTAATACCATCCAGTGTCAGAAGTCAGTCAGCCTCTCTCAGTGACAGTCAGTCAGTCCCTAATACCATCCAGTGACAGTCAGATCCCTCTAATACCATCCAGTGACAGTCAGATCCCTCTAATACCATCCAGTGTCAGTCAGATCTCTCTAATACCATCCAGTGACAGTCAGATCTCTCTCTAATACCATCCAGTGTCAGTCAGATCCCCCTAGTGACAGTCCCTCTAATACCATCCAGTGACAGTCAGATCCCTCTAATACCATCCAGTGTCAGTCAGATCTCTCTAATACCATCCAGTGACAGTCAGATCTCCTCTAATACCATCCAGTGACAGTCAGATCTCTCTAATACCATCCAGTGTCAGTCAGATCTCTCTAATACCATCCAGTGACAGTCAGATCCCTCTAATACCATCCAGTGACAGTCAGATCTCTCTAATACCATCCAGTGACAGTCAGATCCCTCTAATACCATCCAGTGACAGTCAGATCTCTCTAATACCATCCAGTGTCAGTCAGATCCCTCTAATACCATCCAGTGACAGTCAGATCCCTCTAATACCATCCAGTGACAGTCAGATCTCTCTAATACCATCCAGTGACAGTCAGATCCCTCTAATACCATCCAGTGTCAGTCAGATCCCTCTAATACCATCCAGTGACCATCCAGTGACAGTCAGATCTCTCTAATACCATCCAGTGTCAGTCAGATCCCTCTAATACCATCCAGTGACAGTCAGATCTCCCTAATACCATCCAGTGACAGTCAGATCTCCCTAATACCATCCAGTGACAGTCAGATCCTCTAATACCATCCAGTGACAGTCAGATCTCTCTAATACCATCCAGTGACAGTCAGATCCCTCTAATACCATCCAGTGTCAGTCAGAGCTCTCTCAGTGACAGTCAGATCTCTAATACCATCCAGTGACAGTCAGATCCCTCTAATACCATCCAGTGACAGTCAGATCTCTCTAATACCATCCAGTGACAGTCAGATCCCTCTAATACCATCCAGTGACAGTCAGATCTCTCTAATACCATCCAGTGACAGTCAGATCTCTCTCAGTGACAGTCAGATCTCTCTCTGTGTTAGTGCGCCTGCGCAGAGCAATGTGAACTACGTCTCCCGTCATGCACCTCGTCCTCACTCAGTGGAGTCATAGTGTGTGGGCGTGGCCTGGGCCGGAAGCTGGTATTTCTATTTCCGGTGAGCAGAGGAAGCTGCAGGTGCTGTGAGACTGAGCTCTGCCCTGGATCCATCACAGTATTACGGTAATGGCGGCCGGTGACATCACAGCCAGGCGGGTGACGTCATATGGCAGCCACCTCCTGCTCTGCTGGTGTGTGTCCCTTTAAATGTTATATCTGCAACTCTCAGCACCCTCAGCCAGCCTCAGGATCCAGCCATAGGGAGCTGGGAGCCAGATAGTGAGAGAGTCTAACTTATTATAACAATATAATGTAATAACACAGTGTATAATAATATAATAATAACACAGTGTATAATAATAATATAATAACACAGTGTATAATAATAATATAATAACACAGTGTATAATAATAATATAATGTAAGAAAACAGTGTATAATAATATAATAACACAGTGTATAATAATAATATAATAACACAGTGTATAATAATAATATAATAACACAGTGTATAATAATAATATAATGTAAGAAAACAGTGTATAATAATATAATAACACAGTGTATAATAATATAATGTAATAACACAGTGTATAATAATACAATGTAATAACACAGTGTATAATAATATAATGTAATAACACAGTGTATAATAATACAATGTAATAACACAGTGTATAATAATATTATAATAACGCAGTGTATAATAATATAATGTAATAACAGTGTATAATAATATAATAACACAGTGTATAATAATAATATAATGTAATAACACAGTGTATAATAATATAATAACACAGTGGATAATATAATAACAGTGTATAATGTAATAACAGTGTATAATAATAATAATATAATAACACAGTGTATAATAACACAGTGTATAATAATAAAATATAATAACACAGTGTATAATAATATATAATGTAATAACACAGTGTATAATAATAATATGTAATGTAATATATAATAACACAATGTATAATATGATGTAATAATATATAACACAATGTATAATGATATAATCTAATTTGTGTTCGGTGCATTCTCATATGATATAGAATAAGATGGGTTGTAGAGATGTAGCTTTAGGATTAGTCGGTTGAGGTGTGCCGAAACCGACGTATGCTGTAGGCCGGTAAAAAGTGGGCAAAAAGAGACATATTAATGCAAAACATTATACAGGATCATAGTGCATTTGTTAACCATCAGTTAGACATTTTAATGAAAGCGTCCTAATTCCTGAATCGGCTGTGGTATGTAAGTCGCATAAGCCTATGATTCCCAGCGGCCCCGTGTCTTAACGTGTGCGGGGATGTCTTGGCTATAGGCTGTGTAAGCTGCTCCTATCCTAAAGGAGTGCCCTGAGTAGTCGCTAGGGTTTAGTTCGAGCACGATGAATGAGTAGGTGGACATAGTGCATGAACTTACCTGTGGTAAGGACAGTATCGTACAGCGACAGTAATGGTTCAGTGGCGCGTATGGTGGCGTGCCCAAGAACGTAATCAGTACCTTAACCGGGCACCCAGCATTGCTTGTAAGGTAGTAGGTTATATGCACTGGCTCGCCCCTCTGACTCATCTTAGTTTTAGGAAGGGACCGGACATAGTGGTCTGTGTGTTTTAGAACATAAGAGGTCAACAGGCACTCTTGTTTATGATGTTGGCCGCTGATAGTGAGTTATTGTTTTGGCCTGAGAAAGCCGTTAAAGGCTAGATAGGTAGCAGTTTTGATAATTGCATTGGTGCATGGTCGAGTGGTTCTGTCATGGTTTGAACATTGTATGTCTATGGCCAGTATTTAGTTTTAGCGGGAACGTCCGCTTGGCCATGTCTCTAAGTAAGGTATGTATGGGGTAGGAGGATAGTAAGCCTTGTTGTTGTTTGGGATGGAGAAATACGTATAGTGTCTGTAAGCTCGTTTGAGCAGGGTCCTCTTCAACCTATTGTTCCTGTAAGTTTTCTTGTAATTGTCCTATTTATTGTTACACCCCCCCTCTCAAAATATTGTAAAGTGCTACGGAATCTGTTGGCGCTATATAAATGGCAATAATAATAATAATAATAATAATAATAATGCCCGTGAGATAAAGTTTAACCGTGTTGTGCGAGAATTATTAACTTAAGGTGGCAAAAAGAGGCGAAGGCCATATGTGGTGAAACCTCAAACCAGCTATCTAAGTGATGGTCCGACATGAAACATATTGTATAAGTGGAAAACCCTGTAGCAAGCGTGTTGAGTGCTGGTGGACAAGGCCAGTTTAGTCAGAGCCCGGCTGTGTTGGCGAGGTTCATGTAATCCATGACCTTGACCATAAATGACCCCCTGCCATGGCGGCTGTCATGGCAGCTGCCACAATAATTTACCATCTCGGGAGTGTATGACTGTGGGGCATCTGGATATGTTTAACCACAACCAGTAGAGAGTTCAACGAATATATTGAAGATTGTGGGCTGCTCTTGACCCGAAAGTTAAGCGGGAGAAGAAATATATAACTGCTACCCATAAATGCCAGTGCAGGGTGGATGGTGGCAGTCTGAAACGCGTTTGATATTAGTTTTACTTAACCAGGCTTCCCCTCCCTGCTTGAGTGATAGTTGTCATGGTATGAACAATGGTGGCATACTGTAATGAAAACTCCTCGGAGGGTATGAGGGAGTTGAGATTATGGGGTAGCCAAGGCGTGAGGTGCAGATAAGTCTATGATCAGTTACAGTGTGAGGGAAGATTCCCTGTGACAATCCCAATGGGATTGCGCCACACTGTAAATGGTGTAGATCGGAGAGGCCCAGGTAGAAATCTTTCTGCCATTTCTTGGGCCATGAGTGTAATGCCAACTGTTGGATGCTGCTGTGATGACTGCAAGTTAGGGCATTCTAGATTCCCCCAAAAGTATATGGCAATACCTGAAAAGAAGACCTTTAAAATCGGAGATTAGGAAATAAACTAAATGTCTGGAAGGGTGATAAGTTAGAAAGTACTGGAAACGCATAATGTTTACAGACGAGAAGTAAGGTTCAGGGTACATTTATTGGGATACATGGTTGTTGCATGTGCCCTGACATATTGGGAACATATCTGCAACAGTCTGCATGCACTGAAACTACATGTGCCAACATGGAAATTGTTGCAAATCTGGGATTTGCCAAAGAGAATGAGACGACCCAATTTGTCTCTGGTAGTTCGCTACGTCCTACCAGAGGTGCTGGAGCCTGAAACGTGATCGTCCACTGTGTTGGGACAAAATTGTCCTGTGGGACTAGCAACATCTTCAAGTGAAAGTGTGTTGACTCTAGCTGGAGTGTTAGGTAGAGAGAAATCCTTACCACCTGCTTGATACATACTAAAAAGCATGAAGATAGCCATTACTATATAAACCCACAGTGTGCTAGTACTGGCTTGCTAGCTAAAGCCACATGGCGAAACAATTAAACCTTTGTTTGGTGACAGGTGAGGCCCTGCTAGTTGCCAAGTGGCTTGAGAGGCTCTATCTATGCAGTGGCGCGAGGGGATTTTTGTGGCCACCAAACGTAGTGGCAGGATGTTGGCCTCTCGGTGACTGTAACCATAAAAAAAGGGGAAGGGAGTGACAGGTGAGGCCCTCTCTATATACCATGCGAGGCGGCTAGCTCACGAATGGCCCGATGGGTGTTTGCCTCCGAGCGTTGAGGCGGGATGTTGGCCTCGCGGGACCACTATACGACAGGCGTAGATGCCAAGAAAGGAAAATATCTATTGGAAACCTATAGTCCCTAATTGCCAGTACGCTAAGGATATGCCCAGGGGGGAAACAGAAAATGTATGTATAAACCACATGAGCAGGTGTATGTACCTGGTAGTATGATTAGATACCCTTACTGGTCGTAAAGGTTATTAATACCTGTATCCCAGACGGGTAAAACAATGTATGAAAATCGAATATAGACATTTAAAAGCGTATATCCATATGTGTGTTATGCAAGTTTAATAGAGCAAAGTGCTCCGTCCCAATGTTTATTGTAATGCCCCTGTTTGAAGGAAATTAACTTGTCGGGAGTGTTATATCATGTGTGATATGGAATACAACTGTATCCCGAAACATGAGTGCCGGGAACCATGACTGGCAGCTGAATAACCTAATAAGTGAAAATACATAATTGGAAGGACTTATATTTTAAGCGTGCAAATATTCCGCATTAGACTCTGGAAAACTGCATAGTGCTTTAAATAGTATGTGCATTCTTGGGTAAATGTATGCGTATTGTCAGTAAATGTAACTAAATGCCTATGAAGGCAGGTATGCAGTAATCATTATATCATAGTAAGCATGATTTGTAAGGAAGTGTTATTGTGTAATTATAATTATAGTGGGAATGTTATGAGGGGAATAACCATATGTCTGAAAAGCCTGTAGTATACTGTTTAACAGATAGGAGTCAGTATAAAAGTGAAAATGCTGTAGTTAGTTTGTTTGCTTATGAAGTGAAATAAAGTCTGAGAAGCCTGTAGTACACCGAATGACCGGTAGGGGTCAGTGTGTAGGCGCAAATGCAGTGGTTCGTTGGTTTGTACATGAAATGCAATAATATCTGAGAAGCCTGTAGTACACCGAATGACTGGTAGGGGTCAGTGTCTAGATGAAAATGCAGTGGTTCGTTGGTTTGTACATGAAATGCAAAAACGTCTAAGAAACCTGTAGTACACCGAATGACCGATAGGGGTCAGTGTGTAGGCACAAATGCAGTGGTTCGTACATGAATTGCAATAATGTCTGAGATGCCTGTAGTACACTGAATGACCGGTAGGGGTCAGTGTCTAGATGAAAATGCAGTGGTTTGTACATGAAATGCAATAATATCTGAGAAGCCTGTAGTACATCGAATGACCGATAGGGGTAAGTGTGTAGGCGAAAAATTGTATGTCGTTTGTAGTTTTAACCCAACATATTTTACATAAACAGCTAGATGAGTATAAGGTAACGAAATAACCATGCAAAACGAAAGGAAACCGTAAAGTGAGGACCCGTGCTGTGTTGAACGCCGTGGGAACTAATCCTGGCGCAACAGGTGGGTCAACTTATGGTTTGAGAGTCCCTGAGACACCAAATGCGATGCTGACCGGAGAGAAAGCCACTGGATTAACAGAAAGCCCTGCTGCAGGATTCCTGGACACAGCTTGGAGTAGGAGACCTCATGGAGCAAAGGTGAAACCAAAATGGTGTCTTGTATGACCTGGAAGTGGATCTCATGCAAATGCTGACCTTGAACAGTCTATTCATCTGACTAACAAAGGTAAGTAGGGAAAGGGGGGAGTCCCTTTTATAGGTCTATAGCCGCTCCCACAACTTCAGGCCATGCCTTCCAGTATATAACACAATGTATAATAATATAATACAATGTATAATATGATGTAATAATACACTGTAATAATATATAATAACACAATGTATAATAATCTAATAACACAAACTGGAATATACTGTAATGATATAACACAGACTGTAATATACTGTAATAATATAACACAGGCTGTAATATAATGTAATAATATAATACAGACTGGTATATACTGTAACAATATAACGCGGACTGGAATATACTGTAATAATATAACACAGACTGTACTATAATGTAATAATATAACACAGGCTGTCATATAATGTAATAATGTAACACAGGCTGTAATATAATGTAATAATATAACACAGACTGGTGTATACTGTAATAATATAACACAGGCTGTAATATAATTTAATAATATAACAGACTGGTATATACTGTAATAATATAACACAGACTGTAATGTAATGTAATAATATAACACAGACTGGAATATACTGTAATATAACACAGACTGGTATATACTGTAATAATATAACACAGACTGTAATATAATGTAATAATATAACACAGGCTGTCATATAATGTAATAATGTAACACAGGCTGTAATATAATGTAATAATATAACACAGACTGGTGTATACTGTAATAATATAACACAGGCTGTAATATAATTTAATAATATAACAGACTGGTATATACTGTAATAATATAACACAGACTGTAATGTAATGTAATAATATAACACAGACTGGAATATACTGTAATATAACACAGACTGGTATATACTGTAATAATATAACACAGACTGTAATATAATGTAATAATATAACACAGGCTGTCATATAATGTAATAATGTAACACAGGCTGTAATATAATGTAATAATATAACACAGACTGGTGTATACTGTAATAATATAACACAGGCTGTAATATAATGTAATAATATAACACAGACTGGTGTATACTGTAATAATATAACACAGGCTGTAATATAATTTAATACTATAACATAGACTGGTATATACTGTAATAATATAACACAGACTGTAATATAATGTAATAATATAACACAGACTGGAATATACTGTAATAATATAACACAGACTGTAATGTAATAATATAACACAGACTGTAATATGTAATAATATAACACAGACTGTAATATGTAATAATATAACACAGACTGGAATATACTGTAATAATATAACACAGGCTGTAATATAATGTAATATAACAGACTGTAATATACTGTAACAATATAATGCGGACTGTAATATACTGTAATGATATAACACAGACTGTAATATACTATAATGATATAACACAGGCTGTAATATAATGTAATAATATAACACAGACTGGTATATACTGTAATAATATAACACAGACTGTAATATAATGTAATAATATAACACAGGCTGGAATATACTGTAATAATATAACACAAACTGGTATATAATGTAATAATATAACACAGGGTGTCATATAATGTAATAATATAACATAGACTGACCGCAGTCCTCCCTTTCAAATACCTGGGTATGTTGTTAGACCCCAATCTATCTTTTGGCCTCCACATTGAAAAACTCATCAAAACTTTACCCAAAACTAGGTGTCCTGTACAGAAACAAATCCTGCCTAAACCCTCCATCGAGCATGTCAAACTCAAAGTCTAGCACGGCCACATAAACAAGGTTTAAGTTTATGTGGGCCACAAAAAAAACCTTAAATTTTCATAGAAACAGGTTTATTTTGAAAAGTACAGTATAAACAAAAGAAACAGCATCCCCCTCTACTAAACCACAGCACCCCCCTCTTCTAAATCCCTGTCCTCCCCCTCTACTAAATCCCAGCACCCCCCTCTAGCCAACAAGCAGGCTCCACTCACATTGCCGCTTCCAGTATGCGACCCCGGAGTCCGGCCTCTGGTATACCCCAAATGGCGACGTTCGCACCCTGTGCCAAATCTGATCCTCCAGCTACTTCTTGAAACCCTGTTGTGACGAAGTCCCCTTAGCCACTTGTGCCTGGCTAGCCTCCTGCATTCCGACTGTGGCCCATGTGCTGATAGCTGTATTTTCCCTTGCAGAAAGGTTTATTTGTGTATTTGACTTTCAGTATGGTAGTAGTGCTACCCCAGATAGCAATGCCATGGAGCCTATCCGTGTAACAAAAGACTATGGAAAAGACTTTGGCTCCATGGCGATTGAACTGTATGTATGTGATCTGAGCGCCATTCGGTAATAATGTGCACTCAGATCTAAGCTATCTGGGGATATGTTACATGTATATGTTTTATGTAGTAATTGTAACATTGTGTAATTTTATGTCTTTTTGCAACCATGTGATTAATGGAGTCTTGCCTCTGTCCTGGGAGATAATTTGATTACTTCTCAATTATCTCCAGGATCGAGAGGAGGGATTGTGATGTCACTGTGGGAGTATTTTGTTTGTATTGTCTGTGATTGGCTAATATCCAATATGTATCCCATTGTTCCATCAGGTCCCCTAGGGGAGTGTCCACCTGGTGGACACTTGCATAAATACCAGGCAGCTAGCCCTCAATAAACCAGACCTACTTGCACCTTTCTTGAAGCCTTGGTTCATGCTTGGGGGAAGGGATAACTACACTGTGGGGATTGCTAAAATCACATACTCCCCAGAGTCAGCTGTTGCAAGAGCTTGTTTTGTTCCTGCTCTCTGGATTTAGGAGAGGTTCACCCACTGGAAGCTGGATCCTGGTCTTGGGTCCAGGGTGGGTGAGAGACAGCGAGATATCGGCTCAGCTGCATCGCTGGAAGTGGGGTTTGCAGTGCTGATGGTATTGGTTGCAGTGCTCGGAGTCCTCGGCAAGCGCTAGGAGCATCAATTGGCAGAGGTACTCGGTCGGAGTGCCAGCGTTCCGTCACACCTGTGAAGGTGGAGCACGTCGGAATGTTACGTGCGTTGCGTGCCTCCATGCACCTCCAGGTACTCCACTGTCCAGTCGAAGCCAATGCAGCATTGACCGACACACACACACACTCACTGAGAGACACACAGTCATTCACTGACAGACACACACACATTTACACCTTCTTGCACACACATCATTTTCTTCATTGCTCCCTACCTTTGGAAGCCGATGTTGTGCTTCTCCCTGGGGTCCAGTTATGATCTTCTGTGACAGACCGCTGCCACTCCGACTGAGTACCTCCGCCAATCGATGCTCCTAGCGCTTGTCGAGGACTCAGAGCACTCCAACCGACACCCTCAGCACTGCGGACCCCACTTCCAGCGATGCAGCTGCGCCAGGGTCTCGCCGTCTCTCACCCACCCTGGATCCACGACCAGGATCCAGCTCCCAGTGGGTGAACCTCTCCTAAATCCAGAGAGCGTAGCAGGAACAAATCAAGCTTACAAGAGCTTACTCTGGGGAGTAAGTGATTATAGCAATCCCCAGAGTGTAGGTATCCCTTCCCCCCAAGCATGAGCCAAGGCTTTACGAAAGGTGCAAGTAGGTCTGGTTTATTTAGGGCTACCTGCCTGGTATTTATGCAAGTGTCCACAAGGTGGACACTTCCCTAGGGGACCTGATGGAACAATGGGACACATATTGGATATTAGCCGATCACAGACAATACAAACAAAACACTCCCACAGTGACATTACAATACCTCCTCTCTATCCTGGAGATAATTGGGAAGTAATCAAATTATCTCCCAGGACAGAGGCAAGACTCCATTAACCACATGGTTACAAAAAGACATAAAATTACACAATGTTACAATTACTACATAAAACATATACATGCAACATATCCCCAGATAGCTTAGATCTGAGTGCACATTATTACCGAATGGCGCTCAGATCACATACATACAGTTCAATCGCCATGGAGCCAAAGTCTTTTCCATAGTCTTTCGTTACATGAATAGGCTCCATGACATAGCTCTCTGGGGTAGCACTACTCACATACTGAAAGTCCCTAACGCCCCAGCAGAAATACACAAATAAACCTTTCTGCAGGTTAAAATACAGCTATCAGCACAGGGGCCATAGTCGGAAGGCAGGAGGCTAGCCAGTAGTCCCCTCCAGGCACAAGTGGCGAAGGGCGCTTCGTCACATCTTCTATCTGCTCCTCACTGGCGAGCAGTTTAGTGATGCCGGAATATGACATCATATTCCAGGGCCCGGCTTCACTACAGATGGCGCGCGAGAGGGAGCAGTGAGGAGCAGGAACACTAAGCTCACTCGCTGGCCCTCCTCCCCGGCCGGGTAAATTTCTAGCAGAGTAGGCACCTGCAATGTGGGGAAAGCCAGTGCTTAGTCTGCTTTAACACCAATCATGTACTCGCGGCTTGCTGGGCCGCAAAGATGTCCATTGTGGGCGGCATATGGGCCGTGGGCCGCAAGTTTGACATGCTTGCCCTTCAGTAAAGGAAAAGATTGTACAGCAAATGCTGATGCCAGTCATTGATTATGGGGATGTAGTATATGCACCTGCACCGCAAACCCACCTTAATAAACTCAATACATTGTATAACTCGTTCTGCCGCTTTGTGCTACAATGTAATTACATGACCCACCAGTGTGACATGCTATAAGAACCAAAGTAGCTGTCGCTGGAATCCAGATGACGAAGGTGCATCTAATACTGCACCGAAACACGCGTTGGGCGTTTTTCCTCCTGGTCTATGGGCACGGCACTCGTTTTAGCACGTTTGTTTTAAGATGTTATCACTGTTTATCTCTACTTATCTGCTCCTATGTCTATTTAGCTAGTTTAACAAGGAGAGAGGCTTCTTAATTCATTAATTCTGCTGGTCCTTTTTTTTTTTTGCTGGCATTAGATTTTTCATTTTCTTCCGCTTTCCCTCCTGTGAACGTTGGTATCCACTGAGATCCAAATGTATACCCTTTGAGCTGGCTCTTTATGTGGCAATGTTAGCATAGAGCTGGCTCGGTATGCGGCAATTATATGGTAAAGCTGGCTTGGTATGCGGCAACAATAGCGTAGAGCGGCTCAGTATGTGGCAACAATAGCATAGAGCTGGCTCGGCATGCGGAATAATAGAGTAGAGCCGGCTCGGTATAAAGCAATAATAGCGCAGAGCTGGTTTGGTATCCGACAATAATTGCGTGGAGCTGGCCCGGTATGCGACAATAATAGCGTAGAGCCAGCCTGGTATAATGCAATAATAGCGTAGAGCCAGCCTGGTATAATGCAATAATAGCGTAGAGCCAGCCTGGTATAATGCAATAATAGCGTAGAGCCGGCCTGGTATAATGCAATAATAGCGTAGAGCCGGCCTGGTATAATGCAATAATAGCGTAGAGCCGGCCTGGTATAATGCGTAATACAGCGTACGCTCTGGTATAATGCGTAATACAGTGTGAGCTGCTCGGTTGGCGCGGCTGGGCTAATCGTAGAGTTGGCTCGTGGCAAAGTAATAATAGCGAGCTGGGCTTGGTAATGCAAATGGGTTGTAGCGCAGGAAAGGGCTCGGAGTATGCGGCTAATTTCGCGTGAGCTGCTCGCAGGGTAATAGCGAGAGCGTTTGCATAATAGCGAGCTGGCTCGGGAGCATGCTTAAGGCTACTCTGTGAGAGTTGGTCGTATAAAGTACATAGCGTAGAGCGGCTGGTATAATGCAATACATGTGAGAGCAATGGCGCGGCTACTCGCATGACAATAATTCATAGATTGGGTCGGTATAAAGCAATAATAACGTAGAGTTGGCTCGGTATAAAGCAATAATAGCATAGAGTTGGCTCGTTATAAAACAATAATAGCATAGAGCTGGCTCGATATGCGACAATAATAACTTAGAGCTGGCTCGGTATGAAGTAGTTTTAGTTTTTATGCATTGTTTAGTTGGGGTGTCCATGATATTTCAATCCTGCGTGCTGATATGGATAGTTTTGTTGTCTGGTTTGTACATTCTCTTATTGGTATTTTATTATTATATATCTTCATCAGAACGGTGCTGGTAATCTCCTATGCTCATGTTTGGGATTTTAAAATAGACACCATTACCTACGAATGCTGTATACCCATTGCATTATACCTTCTAAGTGGCCTTTTACTGCAGAGAGGGATGTTTGAAGAACTGCACCGCTCCCAAAAGTCCAGACAGATCCAAAAGGACCAGAATCCAGTTTCTTAAATATCTAGAAGTCTAGAAATTTGAAATAATGCAGGAGAAGATGGAGATGATAAAGAAGATATGGAATCATATCTCAGAGATGGGCAACCAGCTGAATGAGACGGTAAGGGAGAACGTTAAATATCCTGACATAAGGGTTATTTCAAGCACCATGGCCACTTCAGTGATTTGAAATGGTAATGGTGCCTGGGGTCTGTATGTACGGCGCTATAAACTCTAAAAATACTGACTGACTGGAATGCCATAGGGGGATCATCTTACCCTCATCCCACCCTCCGTCCATGTCTTACCCTCAGCCCACCCTCCCTGGTGCCATAGGGGGATCATTAACCCGTCCATGTCTTACCCTCAGCTCACCCTCCCTGATGCCATAGGGGGATCTTTAGCCTGTCCGTGTCTTACCCTCAGCCTACCCTCCCTGATGCCATATGGGGATCATAACCCGTCCATGTCTTACCCTCAGCCCACCCTCCCTGATGCCATAGTGGGATCATTAGCCCGTCCACATCTTCCCCTTTAGCCCACCCTCCCTGATGCCATAGGGGGATCATTAGCCTGTCCGTGTCTTCCCCTTTAGTCCACCCTCCCTAATGCCATAGGGGGATCATTAGCCCGCTCATGTCTTCCCCTTTAGCCCACCCTCCATGATGCTAGGGGGATCATTAGCCCGTCCGTGTCTTCCCCTTTAGCCCACCCTCCCTGATGCCATAGGTGGATCATTAGCCCGCTCATGTCTTCCCCTTTAGCCCACCCTCCCTGATGCCATAGGGGGATCATTAGCCCGTCCATGTCTTCCCCTTTAGCCCACTCTCCCTGATGCCATAGGGAGATCATAACCCGTCCATGTCTTACCCTCAGCCCACCCTCCCTGATGCCATAGGGGGATCATTAGCCCACTCATGTCTTCCCCTTTAGCCCACCCTCCCTGATGCCATAGGGGGATCATTAGCCCGTCCATGTCTTCCCCTTTATCCCACCCTCGCTGATGTCATGGGGGATCATTAGCCGGTCCATGTCTTCCCCTTTAGCCCACCCTCCCTGATGTCATGGGGGATCATTAGCCCGTCCACGTCTTCCCCTTTATCCCACCCTCGCTGATGTCATGGGGGATCATTAGCCGGTCCATGTCTTCCCCTTTAGCTCACCCTCCCTGATGCCATAGGGGGATCATTAGCCCGTCCACGTCTTCCCCTTTATCCCACCCTCGCTGATGTCATGGGGGATCATTAGCCGGTCCATGTCTTCCCCTTTAGCCCACCCTCCCTGATGTCATGGGGGATCATTAGCCCGTCCATGTCTTCCCCTTTAGCCCACCCTCCCTGATGCCATAGGGGGATCATAACTCGTCCATGTCTTGCCCTCAGCCCACCCTCCCTGATGCCATAGTGGGATCACTAGCCCGTCCACGTCTTCCCCTTTAGTCCACCCTCCCTGATGCCATAGGGGGATCATTAGCCCGTCCATGTCTTACCCTCAGCCCACCCTCCCTGATGTCATGGGGGATCATTAGCCCGTCCATGTCTTCCCTTTTAGCCCACCCTCCCTGATGTCATAGTGGGATCATTAGCCCGTCCACGTCTTCCCCTTTAGCCCACCCTCCCTGGTGCCATAGGGGGATCATTAGCCCGTCCACGTCTTCCCCTTTAGCCCACCCTCGCTGATGTCATGGGGGATCATTAGCCGGTCCATGTCTTCCCCTTTAGCCCACCCTCCCTGATGCCATAGGGGGATCATTAGCCCGTCCATGTCTTCCCCTTTAGCCCACCCTCCCTGATGCCATAGTGGGATCACTAGCCCGTCCACGTCTTCCCCTTTAGTCCACCCTCCCTGATGCCATAGGGGGATCATTAGCCGGTCCATGTCTTCCCCTTTAGCCCACCCTCCCTGATGCCATAGGGGGATCATAACCCGTCCATGTCTTACCCTCAGCCCACCCTCCCTGATGCCATAGTGGGATCACTAGCCCGTCCACGTCTTCCCCTTTAGTCCACCCTCCCTGATGCCATAGGGGATCTCACAGTCCCGCCCATGTCTTACCCTCAGCCCACCCTCCCTGATGTCATGGGGGATCATTAGCCCGCCCATGTCTTCCCTTTTAGCCCACCCTCCCTGATGTCATAGTGGGATCATAGCCTGCCCACGCCTTCCCCTTTAGCCCACCCTCCTTTGATGCCATAGTGGGATCATTAGCCCGTCCACATCTTCCCCTTTAGCCCACCCTCCCTGATGCCATAGGGGGATCATTAGCCCGTCCATGTCTTACCCTCAGCCCACCCTCCCTGATGCCATAGTGGGATCAATAGCCCGTCCACGTCTTCCCCTTTAGCCCACCCTCCCTGATGCCATAGGGGGATCATTAGCCCGTCCACGTCTTCCCCTTTAGCCCACCCTCCCTGATGCCATAGGGGGATCATAACCCGTCCATGTCTTACCCTCAGCCCACCCTCCCTGATGCCATAGTGGGATCATTAGCCCGTCCACGTCTTCCCCTTTAGCCCACCCTCCCTGATGCCATAGGGGGATCATTAGCCCGTCCACGTCTTCCCCTTTAGCCCACCCTCCTTGATGCCATAGGGGGATCATAACCCGTCCATGTCTTACCCTCAGCCCACCCTCCCTGATGCCATAGTGGGATCATTAGCCTGTCCACGTCTTCCCCTTTAGCCCACCCTCCCTGATGCCAAGTTCTGTCAGCAGTAGAGGATCAGCAGAGGGGAGAACTGGGTCTTGGTGCTGGTACAAGATTCTTATAATTTAGATATTTATTTGTTGGAGGGCAGATAGGAATTTTACTCTGGAAAAAAAGAATGCATTGTTAAAAGATATCTTTTAGTTGTTTTGTTTTTGTTGGAGTAACCATTTAATTATACTGTAAAGAGAAGCAAGCTTAAAATAGGACAAAGGAGAATATTCCATATTTTGAGATGAAGGTTACTGTCTAAGCATGTTTGCCCTATCAAAAAACATATCTCCCGTACCCATCTGCTGTCAGATTCATGGTTGCCTCGATCCAAGTGACATTGTTTCCTATTTAGGATCAGTGTGAGTTTGAGGAAGTGGCCGTTTACTTCTCCGAGGAGGAGTGGGACTGTCTAAATGAAGAAGAGAAGAAACTTTACCGGGATGTGATGTTGGAGAATTACCAGACCCTCAGCTCTCTGGGTAAGGAAAACTCATGCTCGTCTATGGAATGTGTCACTCCAGAAACCACTGGATTTATATCTGGAACAAGAAAGACATTTTCCTCGGATACACTGTAAACGTTGTGTGTGTGTGTGTGTAAGGAAAAGGATGTACATCTCATTGTACAATGTCCCTTATTTTTCACTTGCAGGATGGGTCAACATGACACCTTCAGTTATATCAATGATTGAGAGTGGAGAAGAACCATGTGTGAGGGGTCTCTTGAAGACCATGGAGATTAAGCAAGACGCGGGTTAGTAACAAACTAAAAGCTGCCAGGAAGCTTTCTTAGCCTCAGTAGTTTTCTCTTTATTGCATGGCACAGATTAGATCAATATCTTGCCCTTTTATCTTTTTTTTTTTACTCATATAACTTTAATCCCTTATCATTTACCACCAAAAAAATAAAATCTATTATATCAAGGCAAGTGTAGCCTTTCATAAATTCCAAACTTAAAGGGTTACTCCAAGCACCATCACCACTTGTGTTTTGAAGTGATCATGGTGCTTGGAGTCTGTATGTGCAGCATTTCAGTAAGATGTCCTGCACAGAAACATTGCTGTAACTCCACTCCTGCAGTGTCATTTTCAGCCTGTGACCAGAGTTTTGGGCAGCTAATGTCAATTCTGTGCATAGTTTGTGACGTTCAGTATACATAGCATGCTGTCATGTTATGTTGCCAAAGGTGGATCGAGCAGCAGGGAAAACTTTGCCTCATCACGGCAGGGGGGATGTTTTTTATTTCTGGAATAGGTGGAGGGCAAGGTTACTCCATCCAAAAATTGTGTTTTTATTATATGATTATTTTTGGTTGGAATAACCCTTTAAGCTAAACTTCCTAGTCATGTACAAGGAAATGATATTGCTGATGCATGATGATTATTGAAAATATAGCTCGTAGGTTGAGAGAGGTCACTGCGGTGCTGGGCTTAGTGCATAGGCTGAGTGAGATCACTTCCGTGCTGGGCTTAGTGCATAGGCTGAGTGAGATCACTATGGTGCTGGGCTTAGTGCATAGGCATAGAGAGATCATTGCGGTGCTGGGCTTAGTGCATAGGCAGGGAGAGATCACTTCCGTGCTGGGCTTAGTGCATTACTGCTTACTTAAAGGATCTTAACATGTATAGCTTGGAGGAAAGACGAGACAGGGGGGATATGACAGAAACATTTAAATATATAAAGGGAATCAACACAGTAAAGGAGGAGACTATATTTAAAAGAAGAAAAACTACCACAACAAGAGGACATAGTCTTAAATTAGAGGGACAAAGGTTTAAAAATAATATCAGGAAGTATTATTTTACTGAGAGGGTAGTGGATGCATGGAATAGCCTTCAAGCTGAAGTGGTAGAGGTTAACATAGTAAAGGAGTTTAAGCATGCGTGGGATAGGCATAAGGCTATCCTATCTATAAGATAAGGTCAGGGACTAATGAAAGTATTTAGAAAATTGGGCAGACTAGATGGGCCGAATGGTTCTTATCTGCCGTCACAGTCTATGTTTCTATAATCTGCTGATGAAGATAAGAAGAAGAAAAGAAGTTGGTGCACTTTGCAAACATTCCACTTATTCCAATACTTGACAAATTTGTTTGGAATCTAGGAGCCAGCTAAAAACATAAAAAAAAAAGGCTTCTAAACTAACAGTTTCATTTTCAATGCTAGCAGTATTAACCCCTTAATGGCTGAGCCAAATGTACACGTTTTGATCAAAACAAAACATAAACAAAACCTGGAATTTGACTATATGTCTGTTCAGGCGTAATTCAACTCTTTCATATTAAGTGCACCCACACTTATTATATATCATTGTATTCATGTATTTTTTAGTTCTGCATGGCATTTTAACTGTCCATGTCATAATACTGTTTGCTTTTACTGCAATAAACTACACATATTTGTATTCAGCAAAGTCCCACGTGTAAAACAGTACCCCCTATGTACAGATTGTATGGGGTTTTGGGAAGTTACAGGGTCAAATATAGCACGTTACATTTTCCCGTTTGTGTGTGAAAAAGGCAAAAAAACATAACTTTCATTGATGATATCATCGTTGTAATACATTTTACTGTCTTGATAAAGACCGCTAGACGGTCGATACGTTGATTTATATGCGTTTGATTTAATATATTTTTTTGTTTACTAAATGCAATGAGTGCTCTCAGTTTGTTCCATTTGTATATTTTGCACGGAGAGGCACCTGGTCATTGCTGAATTAATGCTTTTGCTATGGGATGAGTGCCAGAAACTATTGTGATTTTTATATATATATATATATTTATTTTCAAACTGTTTTTAAACTTTATTAAACTTTAATACAGGCAGCAGGGGGGCTACCTGTCATTCCAGGCACTTCCCCTCTGGGCACTGCTATGGATGGCTATTCCGTCCATGTGATCGTGAGGTCCTCACAAGAACCGGATCGGCACCAGGGGGACTCCCTGGGATGCCAGCTAAGTCCCCATCGGTCCCCAAGGATGGCAAAGCACAGCCGCTGTCCTTAAGGGGTTAAAAGAACACTATAGTCACCAGTACCACTACAGATTAATGTAATTGTTCTGGTTTTTGTAGCCTTTCCCTGCAGGCATTTAACCCCTTAAAGATGGAGTCAGTTGTACAAGTTGTGATCAAAACAAAACGTAAACAAAACCTTGAATTTGCGCTATATGTGGTTGAACCATAATTCACCTCTTTCATATCAAGTACACCCACACTTCTTATATATCATTTTTGTTCAGGAGAAACTGGGGTTCATATCAAATATGTATATCTGAAACATAATTTAATATGAATAAAATTTAAAAAAAACTTTGAGGAATTAAGAAATGTTATTTTTCAAATTGTGCATGGCATTTTAACTGCAATAAATTACACATATTTGTTTTCAGCGATGTCTCACAAGTACAAAAGTACCCCCTATGTACAGGTTTTATGGTGTTTTGGAGAGTTACAGGGTCAAATATAGGGCTTGCCCCTTTCTCGTTTTTACACGTTGACATTTGCTTGGACTATGGTGCCTTTGAGACCATATGGCAGTCCAGGAATGAAAATTAACCCCAGCATGGCATACCATGTGTAAAAGTAGACAACCCAGGATATTCAAAATGGGGCATGTCCAGTCTTTTTTAGTAGCCACGTGGTCACAAACCCTGGCCAAAGTTAGCGTTTATATATTATTTGTTTTGCATTTTTTACACAAAGACTGCCCTTTCATTGATTATATCATCGTCATTATACATTTTACTGCTCTAAAGCACTCATAGTTGTGTTCAGCAATGTCTCATGAGTAAAACAGTACCATGCATGTACAGGTTTTATGGCGTTTTAGAAAGTTACGGGGTCAAATATAGGGCTTGCCCATTAAATTTTTTACACATTCAAATTTGCCAGATTGGTTATGGGCCTTATGTGTCTTTGAGACTGTATGGCAGCCCAGGAATGAGATTTACCCCCATCATGACATATCAATCACAAAAGTAGGCAACCAAGAATGGGGTATATCCCATCTTTTGGGGTATATCCCATCTTTACATATTATGAGCGGTGGGTGGGGGCCCTAAATTAGAATGAGGGGGAGGACCTAATGTCCTCCCCCATGGCCCCCACCCCTGAGAGGTGGGTGGGGGCCCTAAATACTAATTAGGGGGGACCTAATTTCCTCCCCACCCCTGAGAGGTGGGTGGGGGCCCTATATATATATATATACACACAGAATGGGGTATATCCCATCTTTTTAAGTAGCCACTTAGTCACAAACCCTGGCCAAAGTTAGCGTTTATATTTTTTGTTTTGCATTTTTCACACAAAGACTGCACTTTCATTGATTATATCATCGTCATTATACATTTTACTGCTCTCTGGAGTTTGCTTGAAAGTAGGCTATTTAAAGTAGTCTCTTTTAAGTAGGAGTTAAAACAACAGGAGTTGAAATTACAAGGGAGTTTAAACCAAGAGGGTAAATATTGTTTTTGCTCACTTGTGTTTTTTGTAACTGGAGATGAGTGCTAGCAAGATTGCGAGTTTAACTCAGTGCACATCATGCCACATGTATGCATGCCTGGATGATTCTGTCCGGGGTCCATACCTCTGTGGTGGGTGTGAGCGAGTGGCATTTCTGGAAGCTCAGATTAGAGATCTGGAGAGGCAAATTGTAACACTGAGGGAAATTGACAATCTTGAGAGGAGTCTGCTGCTCACTGAGCAGAGTTTAGTGGGGACAGGTAGTGGAGAGGGAGGAGATAAGACAGATGGGGAACAGGCACGTAGCTGGGTGACAGTGGGGCGAGGAAGCAGGGGGGGAGGGAAGAGGAAAGGTTTAGCTAGTCCTGGTCTCATGCAGCCTAACAGATTTGCCAGATTTGAAGATGTTGGGAGCATCAGCTCAGGAGTAGCTGTACTGCAGGAAGCTGTTCCTGCTAACAGCAGTGGAAACAGCCCCTCTAGTACGGGTGTGGTTGAGAGGGTAAGGAAGTCTAGACAGGTTGTGGTGCTAGGGGACTCTATTATTAAGAGAGTAGAGAGGGTAATCTGCCACTCTGATCGACTCAACCGGACAGTTTGCTGTCTCCCGGGTGCTCGGGTCCGGCATGTTGCCGACAGAGTGGAGGGATTATTGGGAGGGGCTGGAGATGACCCAGCTGTCATGGTCCATATTGGTACCAATGACAAAGTCAGAGGAAAATGGAAGGTCCTAAAGAATGAGTTCAGGGAACTAGGAAGTAAGCTAAAGAAAAGGACCTCCAAGGTAATGTTTTCAGAAATATTACTTGTGCCGCGCGCTACAGCAGAAAGGCAGCGGGAGATTAGAGAGGTCAATGCGTGGCTAAAGTCTTGGTGTAGGAAAGAGGGTTTTGGGTTTTTTAGGGTACTGGGTCCATTTTGCGCTTGGGTAAAACCTGTATAGTCATGATGGATTGCACCTAAACGGAAGAGGGTCTGCTGTGCTGGGGGATAGGATGGCTAGAAGGTTGGAGGAGATTTTAAACTAGTGGTAGGGGGGGGAGGGTCAAAGCAATCTAGAAAATGGAGATAGGATGGAAAGGAGATGGGCTTTAGCTCAGAACAAAGAGGGTGGAGATGGGGGGAGGGGAAAGCTCAGAACAGAGGAGGTATGTAATATTGATAATTCACAAAAAGTACAAAAGACTCATGATAATATTAAATGTATGCTTACTAATGCAAGGAGCCTATATAACAAAATGGGGGAACTAGAGGCAATAGCATACACTAAACAATATGATATAATAGGCATAACAGAAACATGGTGGGATGAGACACATGACTGGGCAGTTCATTTAAATTGGTACACGTTATTTAGGAAGGATAGGAAAAACAAGAAGGGTGGTGGGGTATGTTTATATGTCAACCATGAGTTAAAGTCAAATCTTAGGCATGTGGAGTGTGACGAGGAAAAGGTGGAGGCTTTATGAGTAGATATCTGCTTGGGGCAAACAAAGAGAAATCAATTATTGGTTGGGATATGTTCTAAACCACCTAATGTAAATATTATTGAGGAAGAACAGCTGTTAGAGCAAATTGAGAAAGCTGCAAATCAAGGTAACACATTAATTATTGGAGATTTTAATTATCCAGACATAAATTGGGAAAGAGGGACTAGTACTTCAGCAAGGGGAATCAGGTTTTTGAATGTGTTTAATGACACCTTTATGTCACAACTGGTACAAGCACCAACTAGAAAGGATGCTTGTCTGGATCTCGTTATAACAAACAATGTTGATCTTTTAACCAACATTCAAGTAGGGAAGCATTTGGGAAATCGTGATCACAATATGGTAAATTTTGAAATAAACTCAATAAAGTAAAAGCACGTGGGATATACTAAAAAGTATAATTTAAAAAAAGCCAATTTCAATAAGATTAGGGCAGCTCTACAACATATTGACTGGCATAAACTCCTTAGTGATAAAAACACTGAGGATAAATGGAAACTATTCAAACATATATTAGAAAGGTACATTTCTCAGTATGTACCATTGGGTAATAAATATAAAAGAAACAAATTAAAACCAATGTGGCTTAGTAGAGAAGTAAAACAAGAGATTAAAAATAAGAAAAGGGCATTTAAATCAGACAAATCAAAGGCATCCTATTTAAGATATAAGGAAGCCAATAACGCTTGCAAAAAGGCAATTAAAGTGGCTAAACTAGAAAATTAGAAATTGATGGCTAAAGAATGCAAAACCAACCCCAAAATTTTTTTCAAGTACATCAATTCTAAAAAAACAAAAAATGAAAGTGTAGGTATACTTGAAACAGAGTTGGGTTTATTAGCTAATGAAGACCAGGACAAAGCAGAAATTTTAAATAACTATTTTTCTTCAGTATATATTAATGAGGATCCTATGGCAAGAGATATGCAAATGATTGCTGCAAAAAACTTGCAAATAACTTGTGATTGGATAACTCGAGACAAGGTGCTACAGCTATTAAAGAAAATTAATGTAAATAAAGCTCCGGGGCCTGACGGTATTCACCCACGAGTACTTAAGGAGCTAAGTGGGGAAATAAGTGAACCTCTGTATTTAATTTTTCAAGATTCTTTTGTTTCAGATGTTGTACCGGAGGATTGGAGGAAGGCAGATGTTGTTCCTATATTTAAAAAGGGTTCAAAATCCTTGCCTGGAAATTATAGACCTGTGAGCTTAACTTCTGTAACTGGGAAAATATTTGAAGGGCTATTAAGGGATAATATTCAGGAATTCATTGGGAAGAACTTTGTTATTAGCAATAATCAGCATGGTTTTATGAAACATCGGTCATGTCAAACTAACCTAATTGCATTCTACGAAGAAGTAAGTAGAAGTATAGATCAGGGTGTTGTAGTGGATGTGATCTACTTGGATTTTGACAAGGCATTTGATACGGTTCCTCACAATAGGCTAGTCTTCAAACTAAAAGAAATTGGTCTAGATGAATATTCTTGTTCTTGGGTAGAACATTGGCTTAAGGATAGAGTACAACGAGTTGTAATTAATGGTAAATTTTCAGGCTGGACAAAAGTAGTAAGTGGTGTCCCTCAGGGTTCTGTTTTGGGACCACTTCCATTTAACATATTTATAAATGATCTTGAAATAGGCATTGAAAGCCATGTATCAGTGTTTGCAGATGACACAAAACTTTGTAAAGTAATAAAATGTGAGCAGGATATTGCTTTGCTGCAGAGAGATTTGGATCGATTGGGGGACTGGGCACTAAAATGGCAGATGAAATTTAACATAGAGAAATGCAAAGTTATGCACTTCGGGGTTAAGAATGCACAAGCAACTTACACACTAAATGGTAGTGAATTAGGGATAAGCACACACGAGAAGGATTTGGGAATTGTTATAGACAACAAATTAGGCAGCAATGTGCTATGTCAATCTGCAGTTGGTAAGGCCAGTAAGATTTTGTCATGTATAAATAGGGGCATAAATTCTCGGGATGAAAATATAATTTTGCCTCTTTATAAATCGCTGGTAAGACCACACCTTGAATATGCTGTGCAATTTTGGGCGCCTGTTCTAAAGAAGGATATCATGGCACTGGAGAGGGTCCAGAGATGAGCTACAAAATTGATAAAAGGAATGAAGCATTTTAGTTATGAAGAAAGGTTAAAAAAAATTAAATCTGTTTAGTTTTGAAAAACGGCGCCTGAGAGGGGATATGATAACTTTATACAAATATATTCGTGGCCAGTACAAACCTTTATCTGGAAATCTAGTCATAAACAGGGCTATACATAGGACACGAGGTCACACATTTAGGCTGGAAGAAAGGAGATTTCATCTAAGGCAAAGAAAAGGTTTTTTTTACAGTAAGAACAATAAGGATATGGAATTCTCTGCCTGAAGAGGTGGTTTTCTCAGAGTCCATACAGATGTTTAAACTGAAATTGGATAAATACTTACAAAAACATAACATACAGGGATATAATTTCTAATTAGTGGGGTAATAGCTGCTTGATCCAAGGAGACATGTGACTGCTATTTCGGGGTCAAGAAGGAATTTTTTCCTAGTTTGTGGCAAAATTGGAAGCGCTTCAGACCAGGTTTTTTGCCTTCTTTTGGATCAACAGCAACAACATTTGTGAGGAAGGCTGAACTTGATGGACGCAAGTCTCTTTTCAGCTATGTAACTATGTAACTATGTAATTGGTTTGCTGAGCCTATGTTGCCTCTGAGACCATATTGTAGCCATGGACTGAGAATTACCCCCATCATGGCATACCATTCACAAAAGTAGACAACCCTGGTGTAACCGACCGTTTCCGCACACAACGGGTTAAAACCGTTTAGGCGATATTCCCCCTTTCAGATGCACAGGCACAGCTACTGCAGAACACCAAACTCCCGAACTGAATACAAGGGAATGCTTCAAACTCCCGAACTGCATACAAGGGAATGCTCCAACCTCCCGAACTGCATACAAGGGAATGCTCCAAACTCCCGAACTGGAACCTCACGAATAGCTGCTAGCAGACGAACAGGAAAAGCACCCAAGCGGCTTACACTCCTGGCAATCAGTCTCTAACAGCATACAGTAAATCCCCCCCAAAGACGAGACAAGGCTCAGTGTTGGGGGTCAAGCAGTGGTCTGTTTAATGAGGGCTACCTGCCCAGTATTTATGCAGGTCTCCTACCTGGTGGACACTCCCCTGTGGGACCAAATGGGAGACTGTGACAAAGGACAGACCTGAACCAATGACAGACACACAGAGGTAAAACCTCCCCACAATGCATCCTAACTTCCCTCCCTCTGTCCTGGAGATAATTGGGAAGTAATCCAATTATCTCCCAGCACAGAGGCAAAACTCCATTAACCACATGGCAGTAAAAGACATAAAAATGTATAAAGTTACAACTGTTGCACAAACCATAAACATTCTACCTATCCCCAGATAGCTTAGATCTGAGCGCACAAAAGTACCGAGTAGCGCTCAGATCCTATGCACACAGTCCAATCGCCGTGGAGTTAAAGTGTTCACAAAGTCTGTTCTCCATCCGAATAGACTCCACGGGATGACTATCTGGGGTAATGCAGTTCATATGGTTTAAACTACCGAATGAACAGGCATCCGGTTAAATAAGCCTTTTCTGCAGGGGAAAAGAAGGCTTTTAACATGGGGCCATAGTCCAAAGGCAACAGGCGAGCAACCAGGCTTCTCCAATGCAATGTGGCGAGATTGCTCTCGTCACACCAGGGTATTCAGAATTGGGTAAGTCTAGTCTTTAGTAGTACCCACTTAATCACAATTGTAGCCAAAGTTAGTTTTCAGGGGTTTGTGGATTTTTATTTATTTTTTTTCACACAAAAACTGCACTTTTACTAATGATATCATCATCATTACAAATGTTAGTGTTTCAAAACACTTTTGTGTTCAGCAAAGTCTCACGAGTACAACAGTACCCCACATATACAGGTTTTATAGTGATATGGACAGTTACAGGGTTAAATATAGGGCTTGTAAATTAAATTCAATGGACTTTCTGCCTGGGTTGTCAGGCAGGTCCCTTGAATTATAATTAATAAAAATTCATTAATTATGTAAATATAGTAGATAAATATACACGTTGAATATATATATATATATATATATATATATATATATATATACACACACAAATACATACACACACATACAAGTATGTACATGCATACGCACATATATTTTTTTATATGTGTATATATATTTATAATTCTAAGTGTATTTTGAGATGTATATAATATATCAAGATACGCTTATGACTAAAAAATTTTATTTTTGTTTTACATATTTTTTTTAGTATAGGTATAATATATTATAAGTTAATTAAAACATCTGATAAGCATCTGATTAGCATATTATACACAATTTATTTTGGTATTAATATATAGATTAATAGCAAAATACAGTGGGAATTAAATGATAGATAGATGTATTATATGTGTATAATATGCTAATCAGGTGTTTTAATGAACTTCTAATAGAACACTCAGGCAGTCTCATAGTAGGCTTTGCAGCCATGTGATTTGCAACGTCCCTGGGGGGTCAAAATGGAAGCAGGGGACAGGGAACTAACGGCGATTAGGCTCATTACGTGTGGGGCGGCATAGTACGCCCTAACGGCATTATTGGTTTAAATTCAGAGAAAGAGCAGTGTTTATATTACTGCCTAGTAACACCTCTAGTGACATCACTCAGACAGTCACTAGAGGCTCCTGGGTCAGTACTGCACATGTTCTGCATGGAGGCACTGAATATTCTCCATAGAGATGCATTGATTCAACTGATTGTGCATTCACGGCACAACACTGTCAAAGCATTGGCTTCACTGAGATCATATATTGATGAGGATGGAGGCAGGACCTGCCACGGTGAAACCGGCACAGCGTGGGGGAAAAAAGGTGAGTAAAAACACCTTTCCCACGCAATTGGAAGGGCAGGTATCTAAACAGACATATACACATTCATTGACAGACACAAACACACACTGACAGACACACTCACAAATTGCCATTTTTATTTTAATTCACCCAGTCTCCTTACCTTTTGGATAGCTGAGTGGATCCTCTCCCTGGGCTCCTCTCTAATCTTCCTGCAGTTCCTCTCTGCTTCCCTGCAAGCCTTCTGTAGTAGCCGGGACTGGAGCTCCGTCCTATTCCGACTCCTGGTATCACTAAACCGCACAAGGGAACAGAGAACTGTAGGGAGATTGCCTCCTTGCTGCCTCAGCTGCTCCCAATGCCAGTGTCCTCTACGCTCTTCCTTACAGCTGCCTTCGCTAAAGGGATGATAAATTCTAGGCTCTGGGACAAGATGTATAGTCACCATGGTGACCTGGCACCTGGAATTTCTAGAGCCCAGGCTTAATCTAAAAATGTTGGGAACCACTGCATTTGCTCTTACATTTGCGTATAGTGCATTAAGTTTTTGTACCAGTCAGCAAAACCAGTAAAAGCTACTTTCTTTCCTTGCTTTGGCAGATCTCGCTGCAGAAATCTGCAGACCCTGGGAATTTGCAGCAGACATAGAAGATTCAGAATATCTTCCAGAGGTCCATGATTTAGAAAACTTCCTTCAGGAATCTAGCATTGTCAGCAGTCTGGGTGCAGAGGAAAAAATGGGTGAGACGTGTGAATTCAGAATCTTGGTGTATATATTTTTTATATATGAACATTTTAATTTGTGGTTTTGATTGGTGGTAGGGATCGACCAATTATTGGCAGCCTGCACAAAGCCAATGGACCACCTTGGAGTGTAATGTCCCTCCTCCCTGGCCACAAGGCAGAAGAAGGGGAATAAAACTAAAAATTATTTATTTAAAATTATTTATTAACGTCTTAAGGACGGAGGCATTGTACAAGTTCTGATCAAAACAAAACCTGGAATTTGACTTATTATTATTATTATTATTATTATTATTATTATGTCTGTTCAACCATAATTATTATTATTTTATTATTTATATAACGCCATCAGATTCCGTAGAGCTGTACAATGTAATGCAACTCTTTTTCATATTAAATCCACCCACACCTATATAATTTTGTTCAGGAGAAACCGGGTTTATTTTCACATCATGTATTTATATATGAAACCTAATTTTATTTAAATAATATCTAAAAAGGTGTGCGAAATTAAGAATGTTTTGTTATTTTCTTAGTACTACATGACATTTTAACTGCGAATGTCATAATACTGTTAGATTTTACCTCAATAAAATATGTATTCAGCAATGTCTCACAAGTACAACAGCACCCCCTATGTACAGATTTTATGGGGTTTTGGAAATGTACAGGGTCAAATATAGGGTCTTCCCCCTTTTCAGTTTTTGCACATTATAATTTGCCAGATTAGTTTGTTGGCCCTATGTTGCCGTTGAGACTGTATGGCAGCCTAGGAATGAAAATGAACCCTATCATGGCATACCATTTGGAAAAGTAGACAACCTAACGTATTCAAAATGGGGTATATTCAGTATTGTTGAGTAGCCACTTAGTCCCAAACTCTGGCCAAAGTTAGCGTTCATATTTGTTTTTTGCATTTTTCACAAAATAAACATTTTCACCAACAATATCATCAGCATTATACATTTTACTGCTCTGAAACACTCATATTTGTATTCAGCAGTTTCAGCAGTTTCTCATGATTACAATAGTACCCTCCATGTGCAGGTTTTAAGGTGTTTTGGGAATTTACAGGGTCACTATAGGACTTGCCCATTTTAGTTTGCCAAATTGATTTGCTGGGCATATGTTGCATTTTGAGACCATATGGCAGCCCAGAAATAGGAATTACCAACCATCATGGCATACCATTTGTAAATGTAGACAACTCATATATTATACATGGGTGGCGGAGCAGAGCAGCGAGTGGAGTCAGACGCACATTCTTGCAGCCCCTCTAGTTTCCGGGGAATTATTATTATTTAATTTTTTTTTGCTGATCTTAACCCGAATCTGGGAGTGAATACACTCCCATTACACTGGGAAGATAAGCCTGAACCGACAGACGCCATTTTTCTATCCTGCAAGTTCCGAAAACCAGCACCTTGGACCTACAACGCTGAGTTACCATGACTTTTCTGTGATGACTAGTGGGGCGGAAATTACTCTCCTGGTAACCTCCTCCGGATTACCACCAGCAACCATAGACCAAAAGTCACAAAGGGCCCATGAGTTGACACTGTCGCTGCTGCTCTTGATCTGCCTGTAGTGACAACTTTATTGGCATAGTCCCAAGTTGCAAATGATGGCAACGCCCCAATAGCAACACGTGACCTACAAGACCTATTAATACATATCGCCAGTAGAACATTAACATATGTGGTATCACTGGCACACTGCCTGCAGATGAACTCCCACACTTTGTCCGGTGGCTTCTTGCCTTTGTATTGCCAGTAAACCATGCCAAACCATTCACAATTGTTGGTCTCTACCGAATCTCCAAGTCTACCCATGCGCCAATGCCCCACCAGAAACATTGTACTCTGTTGCAAATCTTTGGCTGACAAAATGCAGCTTCTTCAGGCCTTGAGGGGAAAGACCACACTATAGTTTGAGAATTCAAGCCTCACTTTCATTCAGGATTTGAGCAGGGCCATGCTGATGTAGCGAAAAACAATGCAACCCATCACTCAGTTGCTACAGGCCTACCCCAGATCTTTCATGGTTACGAGACTCTCTGAGGGTTCAACCTTTCTGCAAGCACTGGGACTAACCGAGCCGACGCTAGCGATTTTCCTCACGACACTCCTGGGATGTCTCCCATATTACACCCTTCGTGCCAGGTGGGTACGAAGACTCCATGACCTGAAGCACCCACAGCTAGTTAATGGTTTTGTTGTGTAACCATAATACACAGTTTGTTTAGTTTTACTTCCTTACCTTGCATTTTGATATTAAAACCTTGGAGCCAGGGACATACTAGGCTCCTTGCCAGGTGAAAAAGATCATTACACTTTATCCTGCTACTGGTCCTAATATAGATATACTGCGCCATCATATGTCCCTGTTTCTCTTTCTGAGACTGAAAAACTAGGATTGAAGAGTGGTGTGTTAGGATTACTAACACGCAGAACTGTATCACACCTAGGACTAAAGTTAACGTCTTACCGAGCCTTAGAATGGCCGGACTTAACGTACCAAAGAATAGTCAGAATACTTGCCGAGGTCGGGGACACAGAATGAGACACAACTATGAAGGAAAGCCAAAAGTCGAGGATACCAGAAAAGAGGGAAGTCAAAACGAAGCCAAAGTCAGTAAGCAGAAATAAACGCTCAGGAACACACTCTAGGACAACCACTAAGGCAATCCACGACAGGGCAATGAGGGAAGGTAAAGGAGTTTAAATAAGTCTCCTTTAAATCCGATTGGCCATAACCGGCCTATGACCCTCAAACGTGTGTGAATTAACACGCAAGTTGATACAATTTCCATTTTTATATTTTTCCATATGCTATTACTCTGAACCCCCTCCTGTTATACACTAGAGCTCCACTATTTAGTTATAAGTAATTCACTTATAATCTTTATTGTAATGTATTTTGTGGTGAGGTAAGTAAGGTATTCTTTACAAGTGAATTTGAGCTGCTGTCATTTTTATTGTAACAGTAAGTTTATATATATATATATATATATATATATATATTTGTGCTCGGAATTTAAATATGTAATGGATAGTATCTGTGAGCAAAGTTGGTTGTGGTGTGCCGAAACCAACGTACGAGTGGGCCTGTAAATAAGAGGGCCCACCAAGGATAATGTAGTTAAAACAGGGTGTAGGTGGGTGGGGACAATCAGCTGAGCGGCAGCGGTGAGTAGGGGCTGGGAGTTTAAGTAGGGGACTTACTCCTCCCACAAATTCAGGCCTAATGGCCTTTCTACTTGTGCTCGGAATTTAAATACGTAATGGATAGTATCTGTGAGCAAAGTTGGTTGTGGTGTGCCGAAACCAACGTACGAGTGGGCCTGTAAATAAAAGAGGGCAAAAAGATAAATTCAAGAAAATACACACTTTATTGCATTTTACAAGACCAAGTTCCTGAAAGCTTGGTGAAGCTCTTTCTCTGGTTGCGGAATATATGTGTTATATATGGAGGATTTCCATCGCCCGAGCCTTTTGATGATGTGGACCGGTGCGTTTGTGCTAGAGGCTGCTGAGGCGGCTCCTATGCGGAAGGAGTGCCCGGAGAATGCAGCCGGGTTGTGTCCGAGCTTAGATAACAGGGTTCTGACATGTAACATCAATTTTGCCGTGGTAAGCGGGTGCCCTTGTAATGTTAAGAGCGGAGAGTCTGGCAGGTGAGTGTGAAGAGTTGACCGTAGTTGGTCGAGAACTTTCACCGGACACCAGGCATTATCAGTAGGGAAGAGAGGAATTATAGTGGGATGTATTGATCGGTTGGTTTTCGTGGTAGGGATAGAAAGGAGGTAGTGATCCTCTACCTTGGTGAGGTGTGAAGTTTTAAGGCATCGTGCCATATCTCCTTGACAAATCACGGTGAACTCTCTAGGTCTGAGAAAACCGTAGAAAGCGAGATATATGGCAGATTTTATCACCGTATTGGTGTAGCTATCAAATGGGGCTGTGTCAAGGAGATTGCTAAGTGACCTGAAGATAGGCCCGTCTATGGCTAATCTAGTGCTTGCGAGTGGTGGTGAAACCTTTGATATACCTTTCAAGACCTTTTTAATGGGGTATGAAGACAAAAAGGGAGTGCTGTTAGGAAAATTGGTGAGGCTGTGGTGCTGAACCCCGGTGAGGTAAAGTTTAATGGTGTTGTGTGACATATTAAGGTGTAGGTGGCAAAAAGAGGCAAAAGACACCATGGTTTGGATAGAAAAGTCACCTTGTAGCCCGAATTCTGCAGTGAATTTGTTAAATATGTTAAGTGCCCTATTGTAAGTGATAGCAGTGTTGGGTGATAATGCTTGGTGAGTGAGTGATCTAGCGTGAAGCAAGAGTGTGCTTAATCCAATATTAGTTCGTGAAACCGTGGTGTCCTGGATGGCTGTTGGTGAGCTGCTGGGAGTGCCTGAGAAAATGCCTGGAATCGAGAACGAGAAAGAGCGTCAGCGGCGGTGTTGTGAATACCCGGGATGTGAGAACATACTAAGTGAAACTGATTGGATGCTGCCAGCCAGGTCAACTTGCGAATCAGCCGCATGATGGTCAGGGAAGATGAGCGCCCTTTGTTAATGATATCGCAAGCTGCCGAGTTATCTGAGTAGCATTTTACTGCCTTGCCGGACCAGAGATGACCCCAGGTGTGTGCGGCCGCCACAATGGGGTAAATTTCAAATAGGGCTGAGGTCTCCCTGAATCCTGGCAAGGCATCCGTCTCAGTGGGCCAGTGGCCCCTAAACCAGTGGTTCCCGAAAATGGCTGCGAAACCGGTGTTGGCTGCTGCGTCTGTGTGGATGATGGGTGAAGAGGTGGAGAGAGGGGGGATAAACATGGAGATACCATTCCAGTCTTTCAAAAACTTCCCCCACATAGCCAAGTCAGCCTTGGCGTGGGGGTCCAAAGAAACTGTGCCGGAGTCCGGAACTCCGTGGAGCAGGCAAAGAAGTCTGGAAATGAAAGACCTTCCCTGCGGAATGATGCGCATGGCGAAGTTCAGAGAACCAAGAAGGGACTGAAGTTCTCTCCTGGTGCAAACGTCATTCCGCAGGAACGTGTCTATCTCCCCTCTCAATCGTGAAAGTTTGTCGTGTGGAAGGCTAGCTCTGAGTTTGACAGAATCGAGCTCTATGCCTAAAAAGGTCAACTTAGTAGTGGGTCCTATAGTTTTGGCTGGGGACAAAGGGACTCCCAGTGTGGAAAAAAGTGCGGTAGTACTATTGATTGCTGTGGGTGTTGATGACCCTGGCTCTATCAGTAGAAAGTCGTCTAGATAGTGAATAACGGAGTGACACCTGATGACGTTCAGAAGCAGCCAGCATAGTGACTCTGCGAAAATGTCGAAAAGTTTGGGGCTGCTTCGAGAACCAAAAGTGAGTCGTGTTGAGAAGTAATAATACCCTCGCCATTTAACACCGTGTAAGTGCCAGAGTGAGGGGTGTATGGGCAGTAATTTAAAGGCGTTAGTGATGTCTGTTTTGCTGAGCCAGGGTCGATTACCAGATGTCATGATGGACTGTATGGCGTCGTCGATGGTGACGTACTGCAGAGAGAATTCGTCTGCTGGAATGAGTGCGTTTATGCTTGGAACAAAAGAGGAGTGCGGTGCCGATAAATCGATAATGAGACGTTTTTTATTAGAATATTTGTGAATAGCAATACCAATAGGGTTAGTGCGCCAGGAGGAAAACGGTGAAGAGGTGAAAGGACCGATCATGAAACCGTTTGTGGTTTCTGCGGAAATGAGAGTGTCTACAGCGACTGGGTCTAAACGTGCAGACTGGAGATTAGGACATTCTAGTGTACCTGGGGGAATGGCTACTATGCCTGTGTGAAACCCTTGTGAGAAACCTGTGGTGAGAAAATCCACTAAGTGCCTGCTGGGGTGAGACCTTAGATAAAAAACCAGGTTGTCGATATTAATGTCGGTTAGTCATTTGTTTGGTGACAACCTGGCTGGACACATGGTCTTGGTATGTGCCCTGAAACATATGGAGCAGATGTGCAATAATCTACAGGCGCTGAAACTGCAGGAGCCTGCGTTGAAATTATTGCACACCTGTGCTTTACCTAAAAAGGAGATGGGCCTACCCAGCTTATCCCGGAGACCACCCGCTGGCTTGTTGTGAGGGGTGAAAGAGGAGTGAGGTGTGAACGTGGGGTGAGGGGTGGGAGTGGAGGTGGTGGGATCTGGTTCGACGGGACATAAGTCCGCCATGTGGGATGTAGAATTACAGATGGCACAAGCCGGGGGCCTGAGTCCAGCGAAGTGGCGACAGAAAAGTTCCGTGTCCATCTGACCCCAGTTCATTCTAATGTTGAACTGCTTGAGGTGGGTCGCCGCCTTCGCTGAAACTGACTTGTGGTAGTCATAGAAGGAAGAGCCCCCGTACTTGATGCCTAGATCCACTACCTTGTGGAGATAGAGATCTAGCTCTTCTCTCCTATGGGGATACACCGTACAAATGACGTCGCGGTATATCTCAAAGGCTATCACAAACTGTGGGATAGACAATTTTTTATTAAGCCTGGGATCCCTCGTTTTGAGCACCACTGAGATGTCACCATAATTGTAAGCCTTGTTCTCGAGTACATCCTGAGAGGCTATGAGTAAAGATACCAGACACACATCCTTCCCGTCTAGGATATCTTTCCTGATAGAATCTGGGACGGAGTGTGCTGGTGACTCGAAAGGTGTGATGGCTGTGCCAGGTGCTGGAGGGGGGAGTATAGAGGGACATGTAGGTATGGCAGGTACAGCCGTGGTAGAGACTGGGACTATGGTGTTAGTACCTGAGGAGGAGATGGCGCTCTCCACCTTAGACAGCCTGCTATTGAGGGTCTGTAGATTGGCCAAGATATCTGCCAGGGTATCCTGGGTTGCCGTGCTGTTTCTTGGTGGTTGTCCTTGAGAGCTAGTTCCCGGCCGAGGCTCGGGGACTTGTTGGGTAAGCAGCCTGTAAAGTTCTGCTTTTCTAGCTGTGGCCGGAAAGGGGATTCCCCTGAGCCTAAGTTCGGCCGTGATTTTGGGAATAGTCCATGCTCTCAAGGACGTGGGGGTTGAAAGCGTAAGTGATTCGCCTGGAGACACGGGTCTGATTGGCGTGAATGGTGTTTCTTCTATCGGTTCTTCGGTTGGAATTGGTTCTTGGGACATTCTAAAAAGGAATGATTATGTGAAAGATATATACGAAGGGGAGTGAGGTAAGAAGGGGGGGGTATGGGGCGTGGTATGTCTGGAAGAACTGGACTTTAATACTAGATGCCGAGGCGAAAAACTTAATTATGAATGACTGGATAGGTGAGGCCCTGCTAATGCCAAGTGGCGGTGAGAGGCTCTACCTATGATTTGGCTTATGACGTAGGTGCCACAGACGTGGTGGCGGGATGTTGGCGTCTTCGGTGACGATAAGAGAAATCAAAACGTGTGGCTGTGACAGGTGAGGCCCTGACTAGAGCCCTGTAGTAAGGCATGCGAGGCTTATAACTATGATTTGGGCGTGGGGCCGTACCTCCGTGTTGAGGTGGGGTGGGGGTGGTAGGCCTCGCGGGGTCAGATTTCCTGATAGGGTGGGCTAAGGCATTAGCCTGTGCCGTATAGCCAGTTCGATTGTATGCTTAAGGGTAAAGTTAAAGGACTGGAGTGGTGTGCGGATACTAACCTTGACTGGTCGCGAATGGTATCTGGAGCCTCCTGATAAGTGTAGAGAGACTTGTCTTAAATGTTGTCTTTGAGGAAGAATCCTGCGGGTTTAAGACAGATGTTGATGTGTTTATACTTATCGTGATGTCGTATGAATAGTATTGGGAGAAGGTTTGTTAGGGGCATCACGTGAGATCCTGCATTGAGGGATCTGGGAGGTTAAAGGTGTAGGAATGGGATGATTTTGGATATGAGTGAGAAGGCAGAATGAGGCCTTTGGGTAGCGAATGGACGTACTTGAGTAAGGACGTAAGTACCTGAAGGTATGGCTGAGTACCGGGTCAGGTTTTTGGTGTCTTCTGAGCCTGATGGCCGTATGACCGAAAGTCTGTGTAGACAAGTAGTAAAGAGATAACGTATCCTGGGCGTAAGCCTGAGGGAAGGTAGTAATGGAGTTGAGACCGCGTGAGGTCTAGTATTGTAAAGAGAGTGAACTATACCTTGGTTTTAAGTACAGAGATTGTTTAATCGTGGCAGGTTAACTGCGTAGAAACGGTGGAAGCTTAGATAAATACAGGATCTAAGGGTTTAACCAAGACAAATTCCATATTTAGCAATAGATGTGAAGATAATAGATAAAACCTGATAACTCAAAGTGATAATAAACCATACCTGTTCCTGTAATAAAAGGACCTTGAAATAACAACTTTATGCAGAAAAGCAAGAGACCGATGCAATCTGTAAAAGCCAAAATGTGACAGCGTGATTTATGTGCAAGGAATAGTACGGATTATGTGTAATGGGTATAACTTGTAAATAGAGTTCAAATGACTTATCTGAGTGTTATTTGGAAAGAATGGTATAGCTTGTATTTAGACACGTATGAAGTTATGAACCATGGTAAAAAATTATGTTTATTTACAGAAAAAACTTTAAATGGTTTAACCAGGTAGGAAAACACAGGGCTGGTAGTTAACCAGATAATGTAACCAAAACTGATGAGAAGGAATAAATAATAGTAGGATAGTGTGATTAGAACTAATGCAAGCTTAGCTTAAAAGAATAGAAATAACCGAATGTAATTTAGTAAGATGGTGTTCGTGAATTTTACCATACGAATAGTTAGGTGCTGAAATGACCGAACAGAAAAGTGAATACAGATAATAATGAGCTTAAACATGAAATATATATTCGGTAGTTTCCGTACGAAAATGCTTTAAATGATAGCGAAATGAGCCGAACGTTCGGGAGTTTTTTTTTGGCGCGAATGGAGATATTCATGAAAAACGCGTATTCGTGAAAATGCGAAAGGAGGGAGCCTACCCCTACGTTTTTAGGCCCGAACGGCGGGGAAATAGCGAACGCTAATTCCCCCGCCTTGCTTACGTGAACACACCGGTCTCGTGACCGGAAGTCGGGTACCTCGCCTGGAGAGAAACGGAGTGGAAGGACCTCGGACGGACGGAGGATTGCACAGGGCGTCTGGCTGCTGGAAACAGGTACAGTTCTGGCGGGAAGCTGGACAATCAGCTGAGCGGCAGCGGTGAGTAGGGGCTGGGAGTTTAAGTAGGGGACTTACTCCTCCCACAAATTCAGGCCTAATGGCCTTTCTACATATATATATATATATATATTTGCAAGATGTATAATATATTAATTGCAAGGTTTTCATTTAACTTTTGAAGTTTGTTTCACTTTAGGGGACTACCTGACAACCCAGGCAGCACTCAGCCACCTATTGTGGCTCTGTGATCATCGTGATCACATGGCCCTGGAGTGTTTAGTCACACTGCATCCACTGTGTACACACACATACACAAATATTCTTGAAAACATTAAAAATCTGACTGACATATGGAAGGCTGGGCCTGAAGTTGTGGGAGGGGCTTGGTTTCCCTTCTTAAGGAGCACCAGCCCCCTCCTCACTACCGTCTCAGGTCTGGTGATTTGCATTCCGTCACTTCCGGTACATGAAAATCACCATTTACTTACCTGCACCTCATGGAACGCTTACCTGGTCCCTGCAGTCCCTGATCTTCCGTCTTGCAGCCTCCTGACTCCTGAATCCCAACAGGAAGACCATACCACGGAGGTGGCTTCGAGGGACTGTGTCCGGTAAAGAAAACGTAAGTCAGGCTGCCCGTCAGGCTGCCCGTCGCGCTGCGGTCGCGGGCACTTACGTCATCCTGGCTGGGCTCTGACTACACCAGGCATCCCTGTTCATTTCTGTTCCCTACCATACATACACTTTCGTTCACATGGTTGTTCTCAGCTATTTCTAGCGGGTCGAGCGTTCGGGAACAAACTCACGAACAATGTACAATACAGTTCAATATTATTAATTCGTATGGTTCAATAGTAAGGAGCATTTTGGTTATATACGAAACTTAGCCACCGCATGGCTGTTCGTATAGTTTTAACCGATAGCCCTATGTTTACATAGACGATAGCAGTCTTTGGGGGATTCTATGTGTTACATAGCGACCTTCGGTAGTCATTTTGGTTATGACAAATAGTTATGAAAATTGTCTGCTAATAGGTTGTTTCACTACTTATACCTAATCTGTGGTATTGTAAATCTTGCAATTACGTTTCATAGACCCCGTTAATTCAGTGATTATCTGGTCTCAGGCTAATTATAGACATCTTATGTTTCAGTTTCAACAGCATTCAACAGTTGAGCTTCAGTTCTTCTACCATTTGCTTTTCCATTTACCATTTGTTATTATGTCCACTTCTGGTCTCATAAGGCCTGATCCATATGTGTAATTTTTCTACATTACTAGGTAATAGGCCATCCTGGCCGCACTTTTAAGTCTTTTTAGTACCGGTCTACTGCCTTCATATAGAATACCAGTAGGTATCTTTTTAGTAGAGGGAGGTTAAGGATACATTATGATCTAATTCTGCAACTCACGGTTACTCTCATAGGTTATTACAGACGGCCAGTTCACCATATCCTGCTCCTTTTCAGTAACCTCAGCAGGTATGTCTTTTCCCTTTCTGGGTATTCCCCCCGCCACCCTACCCCATTGGGGTATAGATGCATACTGGCTTATAAGGATAGGAAGCCTCTAAGAAAGTTTTCCAGGACTTCTATGCCTTAGCTCAGTGGTCCCACGAGGCCATGACCCTTCCACAACTCGGAGGTACTGCAGCCCCTCAGACTAACGCATAGTTAGTCGCCTCGTTGGGTTGCATAGAGAGAGCCTCACTTGTCACTTCCATTGTGTCTTATGTTGTTACGAGTCACGGAGAGGCCATCATCCCGCCACAATGTCAGTGGCCACTGTTACAAAGTACCCTCTGTCTGCTACTCTTTTCGGACGCTATTTCCCATGAACCCCGCTGGGATCACCAAAGCCCCATCCGTTCGTGTATAAAGCACCGAACACCGTGCCGTTCGGTATTTTGAGACTATGGAGGTTAGATCGACCCAATGCTAGACATTATTGAGCTGATCTCTGGGTTGCCCCTTTGCCGAACAGCCCTACAGACAATCTTTATCCCTATGACGTTTCCATTCTGAGATCTGAGCGCTTTTTGGATATCTTATGCGCTCAGATCCAAGCTGTCTGGCGATATGTTGAATGTATAAGTTAAAGAATATATTGGAAGAATTATAGATTTTTATGTGATTTTTCACTGTAACTGCAAATATAGAATATTGCCTGTACCTGGAGATAATTAAGTTACTGTGACCATTTAAGCTAATTATCTCCAGGATAGAGGGGAGGGTTTGAAAAGATGCACTTTGTTCCCATTGGTTATTGTCACTTGTAACACTGTGTACCATCAGGTCCATAGGGGTGTGCCTCTGGCCTGAAAATGTGTATATAAGCAATGCGTTGCCATTCAATAAACCAGACTTCTTACCCTCAATTTGCAGCCTCGACTCGTGTTGTAGAGAAATGCTGATCACTAGCTCTGCTAAGAGCTCCAGGGATACTCTACACTTACAGGGATCTCGCTAGATGCGGAATTGGAGTTTTCTACTACTCTCCAGGATCGCGGACAAGGAGATCCAAGCGGTCCAACACTCAGCTAGTCTGAGGCAACTGTAACAGCCACGTATCCCACTCGAGCCAAATCATAGTGCGTCTCAAGCTGCTTGGCAATTAGCAGGGCTTCACCGATCACGTGAATAGATAATATTTTCGCCGCTTGGCATTAGCTAGCCAGCCAGTATTAAAAGAAGTCCCGTATAACCTTCTATTCTCATATGTAGCATGTCACAACTACCTGATGGTGGGGAGGAACTATCCATCCCCAGTACACAAGCCATGCCTCAGATCCTGGACTATCCCAAGAATCACGGCCGAATTACACAAGAGGAACATCCCATACCCGGCTACAGCCAGGAAAGCCGAATTATATAGCCTACTTAATACCCAGACTGATAATACTGGGGCGGGAGAAGGGTCTGGTAGAGGTCAGGCTTCTGATCTTCAAGCTGTATTGTCCTCAGTTCTATCCTCCTTAGGTCGTATCAATAACAAACTGGATAGGATGGACTCAGGAAGCCAGCTGAATTCCCCAGCGGCCCTGGTTAATCCTGACTCTGCTATTCACCCCGACTCCCAATCTGGTAATAACCCAATTGGTCCAAAAGACCCGCATATCATTAACCCGGCACACATGGTAGCGGCAAACATAAAAAAGGACATCTTGGAAGGGAAAGATGTAAATTTGATCTTGCTTCTCATTGCCTCTCAAGATATCCTGGAAAACAAAACTGATGCATATGGTGACGTGTCTGTTGTGTTGAAATCCAGGGACCCCAGGCTGAATTGCAAACTGTCTATACCTGAATTTGTTCTGGCCTTTGGGATCTATAGGGATGTGGTGGTGTGCAGTCTATCCCGACAGGAGGGAAGAGTTTGATTTTTACCTCCACAAGCTGGTGGACTTAGGGCACAAGTATTGTGACACGTCTTTTTACGACTACCACCGTTCTTTCTGCGCAAAGGCGTCTGCATCACTAACCCAGTTCAACTATCAAGCTGACTGGAGTATGCTGGATACAGAACTCTTTTGTAGACACTTTGCGGGCCTGAAGATACCAGCTTGTGCTGTCTGTCCATCCAACTCACACATAATTTATGCCCTAACACCCCTGAAGTTTTACAGCTAATTTATGCCCTAACACCCCTGGTTTCACACAGGAATCATTTATATGCCGTCAGGAATCATTGAATGTAAAAACTTAGACGGTCCTGGCTGATACTGACACTATTATGCCTCGTTTCCACTCTGCTAGGCACAGCTTTTTCTTGACATAAATACATATTCCTGGGGTCCTGAATATCGCAGCTGATCATTTATCCCGATCTCGATTTCAGGAGTTCCATGCCGCACTACCAACAGCAGCCCTGATACCTACCCCGGCACCACAGTTGCTGGAAATGGTTATGGACTAGATAGTCTACTCACTCACTCACAGGCGTCACCTCTAACATCTAGGTCTTTCTGATAGCACAAGGAAATCATATGACAGGGCTTTTCATATTTTCAACAGATTTTTGCTTGAATGCCACATAATCGACAAATTCTCTATGGAAACTTTGATTGCTTTCATTTCCTTTTGCCACCTTCAACTAAAGCTATCCTTCAACACCATTAAATTATATATTACCGGTATTCAAGACCACAACCTCACCACTTGGCCTAATAAGTAAGCTTCCTTTCATCTTACAAGGTGAAAGCCATATTAAAAGGCATCAAGGACTCCACACCTACACCCACGCCTGCTAGTCTACCCATTCACGATCACCTGTTCCAGTTACTTTCAGACCTCCTAGATGCCTCACCATTTGAAACACAGGCAAATCACGTCATTAAAACTGCCATCTATTTAGCATTCTACGGATTTCTTCGGCCCAGAGAAATCACCACCTCTAAAACTAAATCCCCAAACTTCATCACAAGAGCAGTACCTACTGTCACTAAACCATACCAAAACTGGTGGAAGGGGACAGATGGTCACAATCGCATATTCCCCCACAAGCAATGAATGGTGCCCTGTGGAAGTCTTCGATCACTACCTTTCCTCTATTCAAAGTGCACCACATCAACCACTTCTGGCTTTACACGGCAATACCCTTACTACTAGTTCATGCTCTAATCCCAAAATAAATTGGCAAAACCAAGTTTTGCAATCTCCAGAGAACAGAAATAGTACTGTTTGCTGTGAAAAATTGTTACAAAGTAGGTAATAGTAGGAAACAAAAAAACTAATCGTGAGTAAGAAATAGTGTAACAGTTTTGAACAGCTAGCAGTGCTAAAAGATTAAACTTGCCTTTTGATTCTACAGAATTTAAATATGTAGAATAGAATATTGGAGACAATATCTGAAACTGTAAGTATAAATTATAGAATGTGGAAAAAAGGAAGCTGAATGTAACTGCCTCTTAGCCGTAATAGCAGTAAGAGCAATAGAGGAATACTCAATCTAAATATTTAACCTATAAAAAGGAAAGTATACTTGGAATTCTCATATAACCTAATAATGGAAACCAAAATTGCTATAGAATGCATGGACGGCAAATAGGGACGAATATCCATTTTGCTTAATATCCTAGCTGTTCATATAAGGGTTAATTTGAACCAAGAAAAAATTTGGAATTGTATCTTCGATTTTGGGAAGAATTTGTCTAATATCATTTACGAGAATGACCATACTGATTTCGAAATGTTCTTGTTAATTGTCCAAGATTTTGGTATTTGTAAATATCTGGTTTTGATCAAATATACATGTGTTATATAACGTAGAATTATAATAAGAAACAGCTGTTTATAACTTGTGAAAAACAATCTATGTCATTGTCACGCCCATATGCTCATTTTTCCCCCTCCCATCCTGCTATGAAAACGGGGTATTAATATAACTGACGGATGAATAAAATTTGAATTGGTTATTGAACACGTCTCTGCTATTCATTTCCAATTTCTAGAGCTCTGAATGAGTTGGCAAATATCCATCATCCACAAAGGGCCCGGGCTGATTTTATCCCCAACACCTCCCAATTATATTATTAGAAGTTTTAAAGTCTAGAGTCATTATATATTATATATTATTTTTCATATTTATATTTCTTCTCTGGTCTCTTGCCGTCACTATAGCATTTCCTGGGCAGTTTCCATTAGAGAGAAATACTGCATATCGTATTATAGGATTATCTTCTATACTGACTCTCGATGACATAGAATTTAGTTATTGTATATCTATCCCTACACACTCACCATTTTTAAAGAATTCATTAAAAGTTATATTTTATCGTTAGGTCACTCTTCTTTTTTTTTTTCTTTGCTACTATCGCTTAGGCGCATGGGTTACCCCCTTTTTGAGTGTTCCTTTAGCTTCCCCTAGTCCGGTTGTTTAGTTCATGCTCTATGTGAGAATGTTATTGGTACGATTAGGCTTTAACCCCGCCAAATACTCGGGTCATTCATTCCTTATAGGAGCCGCTACCACAGCATCCAAAAGGAATATTCCAGCACACATCAAAACGTTAGGGCGGTGGAAGTCCACTGACTACACCAGATACATACCTCAACCAGTACAAGAGTTACGCCTTGCATTCAGGAGTATGATTATGTGATGTACTTATGTTGTATTGTAGGCTGAATAAACTTGTTATATCTTTTTTGCCCTCTTTTATTTCAAGCCTACCGCATCGTCAGTTCCGGCACACCACAACTGACTTTGCCCCTGCCCCTGTATGTTTTATGTTACTAACTCTACTGCTTTGATGCCGTGAACACAAATATATTCACCACTCAAAAGAAATATCAACAACAACAAAAAACCCTAAAAGGGGACTCTATGTACAAAAAAACCTTTATTTAAATGAAGTTGTTTTGGTGCCAGCAGGCAGGCCACTGGAGGCACTCTCACCTCATGGGATTAACAGTTTCCCGCCGAATGACGGAACTGGTCTGTCATGGCGGGTAAGCAGTTAACGCCGAATGACGGACCAGGTCCGTCATGTGGTAAAGTTAACCCCAGATCGCCGTGATCGCGGGGTTAACACTCCTTTGATCTGCCTCTGTATTAGAGGTAGACCAGGAGCACCCGATTGCGCTGCCCCTGCAGCATTGATTGCTCTGACTGGCTGTCAGAACGAGCACATGTGCTGCAGGGACTCTCCATCCGCCTCCCTGCTCTTCCGTGTTCCGTGTGAAGTGCAGGGAGACGGATCAGTAATGATCTGCTTCCCCTGTAAAAAAAATAAATAAATAAAGTTAGTTTCAAATCCCACCCTCCACCCTTGACCCATTTTAAATAAAAAACTAACCCCTTCCCTGCCAATTGATCACGGTCTACAGTGATCAATTAGCAGGTACTACATTTTACTGTGATCTGATTTTTTTTTTAACCCCTTTAATTTTATTTTATTAATTTAAATATATAAAAATGATATATTTAACTATCTGGGGTGGGTGAAAGTTAATGGGGAATTTGGTGTTAGGCTAGCTAGGGGTTAACTTTTAAATAGGTTTAACTTATTTTTTTTTTTTTTTTTAAAGTACAAAAAATCCCACCCTCCTTTACCTAGTCCTAATACAAAATTAACCCCTTCCCTGCCAGTTGATCACTATCTACAGTGATCAAAATACAGATCACAGAATTATACTGTGATCCAATTTTTTTTCTTAACCTCTTAGGGTTAACTTTTTTTTTTTGTAACACTGAGGGGTTCAATTGATTTATTTAATTTAAATATTTTAAAATTATATATTATGCTAGCTGGGGTGGGTGGGAGTTTTGGGGAATTTACGGTTAGTGCTGCTTACTGCTAGTTAGGGGTTAACGGTAAAAAAAGCTTAGAAAAATGTAAAATCTGTAAAAAAAAAAAATTTTAAGAAAAAAAAAGTAACAACTAGTTTTAAAAATTAAAATATTTTAAGAAAAAAGAGTAAAAAATTAAAAAATGCTCATTAACACCTCACCTGGTACAAACTAGAGAAAAAAATGATCCCATGCTAAGGTTCAAAATATGCATTTTTAATTACCCCAGTGTGAATTTTTTAATAAATAGTATGTGTTTGTGGGGAAGTTTCAATAACCAACCATCTAAACTACTTCAAAATGGAACATGGACACAGCGTAAAACTTCAAACTTAGAAAAAAACTGAATGGCTGCGTCCTGGCAAAGGTACATACGGGGGTATTGCTGTACTCGACATAACTGAGCAACATAAGTAGTATTATACAGTAGTAGCACATAAAAGGTTTGCAAAATATACTGTGCAAACTCACTTTGTGTGTCAAAAAGGCAGAAAAAACGCTTATTACCACTACATCTGGTACAAGCTAGCGGAAAAATGATCCCACGCTCAGGTTCAAAATATGCCTTTTGAAACACCCTGGGGTGTCTACTTTAAGAAATGGTATGCCTTAATGATGTAATTGTAATATGTAGCCTGCTCAAGTGCTCCAAACTGGGACACGGACTCATCAAAACCCTCCATGAAAATTCACACTTAAAAACATGAACTTGTCACGTCTCTTTGTAACTTCACAAAATAGTGTCTAGGTCATACACTGGGCATATTGTTTTACTCAGAAGGTGTAACTGAGTATAATTTGGGGATTTTTATGACAGTGGTACATATTAAGTGTAAGCAAAAATGCAACATATATGTAAAAATTCCATTTTGTTTTCCCCTTCACCACAAACATTGAACATTAAAAATGGTGACAAGCTAAGGCACAATATACACCATATAAGATACCGTGGGGTTTCTGCTTTAACAAATGAAAGCCATTTGTGGGGTTATTTGAACAGTCACACTGCTATAATACCTTAAAATAAGACAGTACCCCGTCAAATCTATCTACCAAAATTCTAACTATATAAACTAAAATATACTTGTATAAATGAGTATACTAAACTTATATGGCATTGTAGCTTTACAGAAAAGTGCCAAAGGCATACAATGGGGGTATCGTTATACTCAGCAGATGGAGATGAACATAATATGGAGTTTTATGCAAGAATAGCACACACCAGCTTTACGAAATACACATTACAAAAACCTTGTTATATGTGTATATGCCAAAATAAAGAAAAAACACAGTTTTATTCCAATATTTAGCAGAGATTGGCGATGAAATGGCTACGTAAAAAGTGTCAAAATAACCTTGGGTAAACAGCCTGTGATGTCTACTTTATATAAATATATACTTTGTGTGGCAATTTAGTTTTCTGTGATGGCTACTAAACCTACAAGACAAACATACCAAATTCTAAAATTGTTGCAAATTGATGTTATTTTAGTCCTTGTATTTTGTGACCTGTAACTTTCAAATAAGCTGAAATCCTAGACATATGATGTACTATAAAAATCAAGACACATGAATGAATTTATTTTGAATTACTTTTTCTAAGCTGGACATATTATGCACACGCTATTATTGCCAAAACGTTTTTTTTTTTTTTTTTTGGCATTTTTATATAATTAATGAGAATTTATCTATGTATACGTAACATCAAATTAAAGCCCTGTTGGCCCTCTAAAACAAGGTATATAATATGTGTTGGTGCAGTAAATGACAGAGATGCAAATTGCGTTTGAACACTAACAGCAAAAAAATGCAATAATGGTTTGTGTCCTTAAGTGTAAGACATGTTTCTGAAGCTGTGTCCTTAAGGGGTTAAACCATTCTTAAACTGTTTAACCCCAAAGATGTGCACTCACCCCAACCATCATCCGGCTTCTGAATTTTCAGCCAGTGAATGACTCCCCATTCCGAAAACTGGCTTGGAAAGAAACTTTTGCTTAACAAATTAGAGTAAAAAGCTACATTTATGGGTAAAAGTTAGCTAAAGGAGAGAAATATAGAGTGGGGGACAGTGAGCAAAACAATAGAGACCACAATTAACAGGATGTTATGCTAAGTATAGGGTAATTAAGGGAAAGTTCAACAGATCTTCCAACGCCACCACATTTGTGACCCAGTTACCTGGAAATAACAGGGAAGTCACACTAGGGTTTTTTTATTAGTTGTGGAAGATTGTTTTTACCTTCCTGTCTGCTTCTTCTAGAATCCTGTGGTTTTTGGGACTTGCACCAGGATTAGTGTTCTCGATGGATAAATTGATGGTAACATTTCAACAGTCTAATTTAGGAGTGCCCGAAAGGTAGATCTCCAGATGTCTTAAAACTACAGCTTCCATGATGCTTTGTCATTTTAAAGGTATGCGAAGCATCATGGGAATTGTAGTTTTACAACATCTGGGGATGTACCATTTGGGCACTCATTGTTTAAATGGTTCTTATCAAGCATTCTTAGTATGTGGAAATGTTTTTGTTACAGTATGTGTGATCCAGTAACCATGGAGTGCATGAAACCATATCGAATTATGCTGAATATTTAGCAATTTGGTTTCATGGATGGTGTCTTTACCCAACCTCAGAAGAGTGGTGACCAGTATAACCCTCTGAAGTTGTTCAGCATCCTGCCAACATGCTCAGCGTTTGGGCAGGGTTAGATGGTTGTAGTCATTTTTAAACTAGAGCCTTCTCCAATGTTTTTTTTTGTGACAGAATAGCTGTTACCATTGCACCAGCTGAGAATGTGAAACCTAATCTAGTGGTACACTGCTAGAGCAATGAGGGACAAATGCTCTGAAGGCAATTGAGTACATCCAGTTCTGTGATGGCTGTTTTTGCAACCAGTCCTTAACATATGAAAAAAAGTGGCATTGGCAGGTTCATCACAGGGGTAAGTATTTTATCCATGTGTGACTCAGGAACTGGAAGCTTAGGGTGAGTGCCTCAATAATGGGGTTTCATTTGGGGATCGGGGGAACGTTGAGGGGTGAGGGAGTTGGGAATGTTTTGTAATGTATAGGGGGAGGGAGATTGACACTTGGGATTAGGTAGTCCTCTTTTTTTTTATTATAGAATCAGTTGCATTTGGGGATAGTAAGGCTGTTAGCAGGTGCCTATTTGCAGTGTGAATCATGAATGTCTATACTATTTTTGATTTGCAAAAAATAAACTTTAATGGCAATTTTTCTTTAGTAACTTGGAATTGCTTTTCAGATGACTCCATGAATGGAAATTCACTTGAAGAACATCAGCTGATCAGACACAGACCAATCAAGCGTAGGAAGAAATCTGTGAGAATAAAGGCTGAGGACTCAGACTCATGTGACGAAGAAAGATTCTCCAACTTCCATTTGCCTACACGTGGTTTAGGAAAAAAACCATACTCATGTTCTGAATGTGGAATACGATTCACTTGTATTGCTCATCTTGTTACCCATCAGAGAGTACACACAGGAGAGAAACCTTTTGCATGTTCAGAATGCTCAAAATGTTTTAATCGCTACTCAGAGCTTGTTACCCATCTTAGATATCACACAGGAGAGAAGCCTTTCTCATGTCCTGAATGTGGGAAATGTTTCTGCCGGAACTCAGTTCTTCTTAGCCATCTAAAGGTTCACAAAGGAGAAAAGCCTTTCACATGTTCTGAATGTGGGAAATGTTTCGGTCGAACTACTGATCTTGCAAATCACCAGATGACTCATACAGGCGAGAAACCTTTTGCATGTTCTGAATGTGGAAGATGTTTTATAAGTAACTCTGCTCTAGTAAAACACCAGAAAGTTCATACAGGAGAAAAACCATTCTCATGTTCCAACTGTGGGAAATGTTTCAGCCGGAACTCTCATCTTATTAGACATCAGAAAGTTCACACGGGAGAAAAACCATTTTCCTGTTCTGAATGCGGGAAATGTTTTTCTGAGAACTCTAATCTTGCTAATCATCTGAGAACTCACACGGGAGAGAAACCTTTTGTATGTTCTGAATGTGGGAAAAGCTTTAGCTACAACTCACATCTTGCTAGCCACCAGAGAATTCACACTGGAGAGAAACCTTTCTCATGCTCTGAATGTGGGAAAAGTTTTAGCTGTAATGCTAATCTTGGTAAACATCAGCGAACACATTCTGAAGAAAGACCTTTCTCATGTTCTCTGTGTGGGAAAGGTTTCCGTCGTAACTCTCATCTTGTCAATCATCAAAAAACTCATAGCCAATTTCAAAGAAGAAAAGCTGTTTGACATGTAGACACTGTTAAGGGTATGTCTTGTCAATTTCAGCCAGATTCTTAATTTTCACAGTGACATTTGTAGTCCATGCTATGTGGCATTTCTCTAGCTGATGTTAAAGCAAAAGCCTTTGGAAAGATAATGATCTAAAGTGGCGATTGTCCCATTTTCACAGTAGGACAAGGTGTCCATCTTCATTGTGACAGAACAGTAGGAGGTACAGGACTCTACCAGAAGAAACATCACTTTAAACCATGAAATATTATGAACCAGCTCAGTTTCCTGACCATTAACGGCCATTGTGTAAGCTAAAACACATCACATCTGCGCTTTACAAGATGATTTAACTTACATTCAATATTTTTATACCACTATTTAAATATATTTTTCAAAGCAATTTCTTTTCCAGTTCTGGATTCAAGCATGGATTTTAACCAGTGGTATAAGTGGTAGGATGTTTCCTTGAATCATGTAAACTAAATTCCAAGTGTAATTGTACTTACCACTTGTGCTGGGGTGTCATTGTGACAAGTTACTTATTTTTGTGTATGTGTAGATGTATTTATTTTTTGTTCTGTTGGCAAACAAAAATTGAGTATACCATTATCATATAATGAAAGAACATAACAACTTACAATATTGGTCCCTCACATGTTCTTGGCATACCATCTATGCTGAAAATGTAGTTACGAGAGGGAAGTAGAACTCTCCAACGGGCGCTGTAGTTGCACTAAATTTCCTCCAGCAGGCACATATCGCACTTTGTAGAGGAATAAGGACAGCGTGTGGGCATCATTGGAAAGGGTGGCCTGTCTGGTAAAACATTTCCAAACAGGACTAATGGCACAGCAGCTAGGAAAGATCAACCCTGCATGGTAACGCCATTAGAAAGTAGGTTATAATGCAAATCTAGATTTATCACCAATGTATATTCCTCAGCTCTCATGTTTAGTTCACTTTAAAACAACCACTGTCACTGAATTTAGCGTAAATCCCTTCTCCAGTTCTCTTTATATTAAAGGAACACTCCAAGCACCATAACATCAACAGCTCATTGCAGTGGTTATGGTGCCAGAATTGCCATTGTAAGGAATCAAACCATTTTGAAGGGCTTGGCTTAGGTGAGCCAACAGAAGTTCCTGCTTGGGGTGTTCACTTAAATTCGAAAAAAGTGAGAAACTCACTTTTGGGTTTACGCTCATTCAGTTTTGTGCGTGTGCCCTATTTTCTTATATAGAAAAATGTTAAAACTGATATCTTTATTTTTTCCTTTTTTTTTTCCCTTTTTTGCTGTAGTGCATTAAAATAATCAGACCCTAGATGGTGGTGGATCCAGTACACTCTTAGGAAACTGGTAACTGAACGACTTCACTTGAAAACGTTCTAAAAGTGATGTCAAGCATCAGTGAGAGAAGGTGGAGTGAACCTCTGGGTGACAAAAGGAGAAGGCGATTGCAGCTGAGAGCACATTAAGCTAAACTCTACGACATATGGCAGGCTTTTTTATAGTATGTAGTTTGGAGTATAAAGTGAATATTAATTGCAGACATTCGATTGTCAGTCTTTCATTGTACTGGATCCACCACCAACCGGGGTCTGAATTAACTACAGCAAAAAAGTATACAGTGATTGTGCATCCATTATATTTTAAATTGAAATACTTAGCCTGGCAAAGCATGTAACTGACCAAAACAAAAAGTTACAGAGAATTAAATAAAAAAGTAGCTAACTTTACTGAGCTATTAAGTAAGTAACATAAAGGAAGACTGTGAATACTGTTTTTCTGTCTCCGAGAAACCACCACAAGTACAATGTACATTTTTTCCTGCCATATATATATAATTTTGTAATAAATTAGAAGCTACAAATTTGTGAACCAAAAATAAAAACCATAAGTAAATAAGAAATTAAAATGATAGTCGAGGCACGGTGATGTATATTTTGTTGCAAATAAGAAAAGGTGCGAAAAAACAATCCATTACACTCTTTTTTTTCTGCCCTTTTCCTATTTATACCAAAATATACCTTACTATGCCTCTGCTGTTTTTTTGGTTCACACATTTGTTGTGTCCAATTTATTAAAGTGGGGAAAATATATATATTTTTTTTCCCTATCGCTGTTTTATTTAATAAGCGTCTACTTTGTTTGCAGTGCTGATGTTGCCTCCATAATATCACGTTGGTGGCTGTTGGAGTAATAGAATACCTACCCATCTACTAAGGCCCTTGAAAATACATCATCTTAGCGTGTGTGAGAACATACTATATTGCAGTGAGACACATTTGGCTTGGAAATAATCACATCAACGACAGAGTGCACACATTAATTAGGTGATTTATTTCTTACACCTGTTTCTAGTTCTTCATTGTACCAAATTTTTTTGTACGTTACATTGATCAGGGTATAGGATAGGATTGCAAAACACATCTTAATACAAATGAAGAACTGCTCCTCAGAGCTTCCGTTAAGCACTATGCTTTACCCACAAGCCCCCCCAAAAATCCCAAACGAAAAATAAATATTAATTCAGGGTACTAAACATTGCTTATTGTTGGAATGACTGTGCTAAAGTCTTCTGTGACATCATGCCCAAACCACAGCATTGTCCCTCTCCAGCCGTGTGCAGATCAGCCACAAAGAGCTGACACTGTTTTGTGTGCAGACACATAGCTAATCATAATAGCTTACAGCTAAATTGATAAACTACATAAATGTATAAATATAACGTGATGGTTAATGTGTGAAGAAAAAGTATATAAAACCTGAAAACACTCGTCCTCTAACCCGAATGAAAGCCTTCTTCTCGACTGTAATGTTCCATATATGAAGGAGATCTCCAGAGACATTGGTATTTATCTAAAATTGTGTTGTTCCTCTTTAATTTTTCCCCAATTTGCATAATAAAGATTTGCCTTAACACTATGATATTATGTAATTTGTGCACTACCTTGTTGTTTTGTCTAATAATCTGTACGAATACTAGATTCTGGGACATACTAAGTTTCAAAATACAAAAATGCACATTTGGCTACTTGAATCTGTTACGTGTTATATGAATTTCTATGTATATTTATCATATTTAGAAGTAATTGGTGTCTATATATTAAATGCTGTATCTCTGGGTTTATTTAATCGTGAGGCATGAATTCAGCCAATTGTATTTTCACAATTTTGCTTTTATTCTGGTATTTACTTTTTAAATAAATAACATGATGCTGAAATAATATGGCCAAATATGTTATATTAAAATAATATAATTCACATGATTGGCTTATATTTTAGTAAAAAAACAAAACTTCATGGCCCAGCATGCTCTAGCCCAGTGGCAGAACTAACTATAGCTCTGGTACAAATAAAATTATAGAGCAGGGATGGCCAAAAGTTAGATCTCTGTACATTGTCAGAGAAACATACAGATGAACATTGCATCATATATGAATACACTCTTAAAGGAACACTAGTCACCTAAATTACTTAAACTAAATAAAGCCGTTTTAGTGTATAGATCATTCCCCTGCAACTTCACTGCTCAATTCACTGTCATTTAGCAGTTAATTCACTTTGTTTCTGTTTATGCAGCCCTAGCCACACCTCCCCTGGCTATGATTGATAAGAGCCTGCATTAAAAAAAAACTGGTTTCACTTTCAAACAGATGTAATTTACCTTAAATAATTGTATCTCAATCTCTAAATTGAACTTTAATCACATACAGAAGGCTCTTGCAGGGTCTAGCAAGCTATTAACATAGCAGAGGATACGAAAATCTCAATTAAACAGAACTTGCAATAAAGAAAGCCTTAATATGGCTCTCTTTACAGGAAGTGTTTATGGAAGGCTGTGCAAGTCACATGCAGGGAGGTGTGATTAATGTTCATAAACAAAGGGATTTAACTCCTAAATGGCAGAGGATTGAGCAGTGAGGCTGCAGGGGCATGTTCTATACACCAAAACTGCTTCATTAAGCTAAAGTTGTTCAGGTGACTATAGTGTCCCTTTAAGATATACACGCTGACTCAGATTAACATGCATACAGTTGCAAGAAAAAGTATGTGAACCCTTTGGAATGATATGAATTTCTGCACAAATTGGTCATAAAATGGGATTCGATCATCATTTAAGTCACAGCAATAGACAATCACAGTCTGCTTAAACTAATAACACACAAAGAATGAAATGTTGCCATGTTTTTATTGAACACACCATGTAAACATTCACAGTGCAGGTGGAAAAAGAATGTGAACCCGTAGACTAATGACATCTCCAAGAGCTAATTGGAGTGAGATGTCAGCCAACTGGAGTCCAATCAATGAGATGAGATTGGAGGTGTTGGTTACAGCTGAGCTGCCCTATAAAAAACACACCAGTTCTGGGTTTGCTTTTCACAAGAAGCATTGCCTGATGTGAATGATGCCTTGCACAAAAGAGCTCTCAGAAGACCTACGATTAAGAATTGTTGACTTGCATAAAGCTGGAATGGATTATAAAAGCATCTCCAAAAACCTTGCTGTTCATCAGTCCACCTTAAGACAAATTGTCTATAAATGGAGAAACTTCAGCACTGCTGCTACTCTCCCTAGGAGTGGCCGTCCTGTAAAGATGACTGCAAGAGCACAGCGCAGACTGCTCAGTGAAGTGAAGAAGAATCCTAGAGTGTCAGCTGAAGACTTACAAAAGTCTCTGGCAAATGCTAACATCCCTGTTAGTGAATCTACAATACGTAAAACACTAAACAAGAATGGATTTCATGCGAGGGTACCACAGAGGAAGCCACTGCTGTGCAAACAAAACATTGCTGCATGTTTACAGTTTGCACAAGAGAACCTGGATGTTCCACAGCAGTACTGGCAAAATATTCTGTGGACAGATGAAACCAAACTTGAGTTGTTTGGAAGAAACACACAACACCTGTGTGGCGAAAAAAAAGCACAGCAAACCCACCAACATCAAAACCTCATCCCAACTGTGAAGTATGGTGGTGGGGGCATCATGCTTTGGGTGTCAGGGATGGCAGTCCGGTGCCCAGGACCCAGACACTGTCCGGGCGGCGGTGCGTGCACCGGGACCGATTATGCCTGATGTTCAAAGTAGGAGTCACAGTGTGGAGGTGGATTAGCAGGGTAACCGCACGCCCCCTGGTGTTGAGCACCAGCGTTTGTGCAGCCACATACCAGAACTCTGATTCAGCTTATGCGGATCCCAGAAACTAGGAGCAGGTAATTAAGCAGACCACCCAGGAGCTGAATAGGGAGGCTCTGCAGCAGGAATGTATCCAGTACTGAAGCAAAGCAAGACAAAACTAGAGATAGGCACCAAACATGAAAACAAGACAGAACTAGGAGAACCCAGAACCAGAGCAGGACAGAAAGCATTACCTAGAACATGTACACAAGACATGAGGAAGACAAGAACATAACATGGGCATGACTGGACAGGACTGTACATGGACTGGGATTACAAGACAAGAGATACAAGGTAAAACAAGAGGAAACATAGCTAAGCACTAATTATGAAAAGTATGGGGATTTAGTTACATTATATGATCATACATTGCACAAGCCTGCCAACAACGCCAATGTATCCCATATCTGGCAGGTCCTACACTGCCTAATGTATCCTAAAACAACCACACTCTACCACAATAGCACTTACCTGCAAGAAAGGGCAGAGAGATGAAACACTGCTGCAGGTCCAAGCTGAGACAAAAGTAAAGTGGAAAACAAACGGGTGTGGCAACATAAAACAAACATTTAAAGGAAACCTGGAGACTGGGAATCCCAGGGATGGATTACAGAAATGAACCCAGAAACCCAGCAACAAAGAAAACCAGACATAGACTATAAACCAGAAAAAACAAGCTAGGACAGCAAAAAGAGTACTGGATACCAGAATCCATTGCCAGAATGATACGCAGCGAGGAACAGAACGTGACGTTGGGGCTGCTTTGCTGCGTCAGGGCCTGGACGGATTGCTATCATCGAAGGAAAAATGAATTCCCAAGTTTATCAGGACATTTTGCAGGAGAACTTAAGGCCATCTGTCTACCAGCTGAAGCTCAACAGAAGATGGGTGTTGCAACAGGACAATGACCCAAAGCATAGAAGTAAATCAACAACAGAATGGCTTAAACAGAAGAAAATACGCCTTCTGAAGTGGCCCAGTCAGAGTCCTGACCTCAACCCGATTGAGATGCTGTGGCATGACCTCAAGAAAGCGATTCACACCAGACATCCCAAGAATATTGCTGAACTGAAACAGTTCTGTAAAGAGGAATGGTCAAGAATTACTCCTGACCGTTGTGCACGTCTGATCTGCAACTACAGGAAACGTTTGGTTGAAGTTATTGCTGCCAAAGGAGGTTCAACCAGTTATTAAATCCAAGGGTTCACATACTTTTTCCACCTGCACTGTGAATGTTTACATGGTGTGTTCAATAAAAACATGGCAATATTTCATTCTTTGTGTGTTATTAGTTTAAGCAGACTGTGATTGTCTATTGCTGTGACTTAGATGATGATCAGATCACGTTTTATGACCAATTTGTGCAGAAATCCATATCATTCCAAAGGGTTCACATACTTTTTCTTGCAACTGTAAGTGTTCATGCTTTTGTTGGTCGTGTGCCGCCTCGTTCGTGTAATGTTTTTACCAAACGCCGCCTCGTTTGTATGAATGTGCACGAAGCTAAGTGGTCCTGGAAGTCTCAGTGGTGTTTGGGAGTTCGAGTGTCCGAAAATAGTTCCAGACACTTGACGACCAAATCCCTCTGGATGCGTTCGACAAAACAAGATGGCCGCCGCCACGTGTTCGTGCATATGAATCGACGGCCAGCCAGTGAACCATTTAGAGTGAAGTAGTCAGTTGGCGGCACATGACTGGTCTGGGTGGTCTCTGGTTCGACAGTTTGTTCGGTTATACGAATAAGTTAATGGAGCTGTTCGTTTTCCAATTCGTATGTTTCAAGTTAAGGTGTTGCAAGTTCAGATGTAACAATGTTATAAATCCAATGACCAGGCACTAAACAGGGCATCTGTTACAAGTACCAAAACATATCAAAAGAAGGTTGATGTAAATGGTTACCTCCATGCGAGTAGCGGACATCATTCGACTTGGATCACTAATGTACCGTTGGGGCAATTCATAAGGCTACGTCGTAACTGCTCCCTTCTGGCTGATTATGAAAGGGAGCTTTGTGGAAAAAGCTTATCCATCAAGGTCTATCCTCAAGGCATATTTGAAAGCCAGTGAGATGCAAAGAGAAGATCTCATTAATCCAACTCCAGTTAGATCTGAGCCTCATAAAGTGGAACCAATGTGTCATACTGGCTCTCATGAAGCAATTCTTAATTTATTAGGGAAATATAGAGCTCCCTATGGAAAAAGGGATAAACATAATATTAGCATGAAGGAGGTGGGCTCAGGTAAATTTCCTATTTTTTTTAACCAATTTTAATACTAAGTATAATGATATAATTGACATATTTGTAAACACTGGCCAATCCTCCAGGCTCAAATTCATTATTACAGATACTCAGAGGGTTACCTTTAAGAGAGCCCCCAATCTTAAAAACATACTAGCCCACTCAAAATCTAAGTCTGATTCTGTGTGTGCACCCTACTATTGGAAACTTTCGATGTGGCCATGGTAGGTGTCTTACATGTGTTTTTTTCTATCATAATGCGTTTGTTTTCAGACCCAATAATGGTGGTGAGATCTTTAATATAATTCACTTTATTAACTGCAATTCTTGTATTTGTATTTTTCATGTCAAATATTGTAATAAGTCTTGTTATGGTAAGGGTTAATCCCTTTAAGTTATTAGGCTGTTAGTCCATACCAGGTTTTTTAGGTTGTCTGATTTTGAGGGTTTATAAGCAATTATCGCCATCTGCACATCGTCTTGTGAAAGTAAAGGTAATTTTTGACAGTTGCAGGAGAGGAGTTGTTATGGACAGAAGAATTTAAATAAAATGTCTATTTACTAATGTCTATTTATTCTGTGTTCACTATGTTAAAACTGTCTGCTAGAGTAAATATTCCCTCCCCCCCCCCCTACAATGTGTTCAGTCACTATTTTCTCTGCAAATTCCTCCCATCCTGCTAGCCTCCCTCCTTCCCATCGAGCAAGCCTCAGGTAACAAATTCCTGTGTTAAAAGAACAGCTTCCTTTACTAACTCCTGCCCCACTTCCTTTGTGCAAAGTAACAGCTATGTGCCACGTGTAACAAAATGGAGAATCACTGTTAAAGTAACTACTACTCACTTCCCCCCTCCCATCGTGTAACCAAGATGGAGCTGGAATGTGGGTGGGAAAACTCTGTAATGACGACACTACATCCTGTAGGGGGGGTTTAGACAAGACCCCTTAGACTGTTAACCAATTGATGAATGTATACTGTATGTTAACTGTGACTCTGTACATGACGTATTTCTGCTTTAAAAGGGAATTGCACCCCCTGGAATAAAGGCCACTCTGGAGTTCTTCATAAACCTGAAGAGAAAAAAAAAAGGGGGATATTTGCTGGACAATTATCCTAGTTAGGAACTTTGTGTAATCTTGTATATATTGTTAAGTAAGAGGTTATTGGCATATTGGAATAAGGAAAGCAAACAAGGCAAGTTAGATTTTGTTGGAATAAATGAATTGTGGAAGTCATAAATTATATTGCAGAGAAAAGTAAATTGCAGTTTGCATGTAATAGCAGCTATTCAGATGCTGTATTGTGGCAATCTTTATACACACAATGTGAAATTGACAGGAAATTGTTTGTTAATAAGAAAAAACAAAAGATCAGAAATGTTATGAACCTAGTCTGTACTTGCAATGCATTGATTTGTAAACGAAATGCAGGTCAAGACAATTTAGAATCAGCAGATAAAGAAATAGATTTGAATATGTTAACAGAAGATTTAAATGAACAGTGTAACAAAGTAACAGAGAGAACATGCTCTCAATGTAACTTTGAGAGATTGTCAGAAACAGTCTGTGAACTAGAGGATAGAATTGAATTAAGAAATGATCTTATTTGCCATGTGAGAAATGAGGTAAAGCAAGTGTGTGTTAATACAAGAAAAATACAGGCACAGAATCTAATCCCAGAACCAACTGATACTGAAAATGTATCCTCACAGAGTGATTTGCAGAAATGTGAATTTCAAGACAGAGCTGCAAAACTTAATTTAAGGATCCATGAACAATTAATGAAAATTGTAAAATGAATCCCAGTTTATGACATGTCAGTGGATGCATTTACTAATGCTGAAATGTTTGAGTCTAATTTAGATAAATATAGCCTTAATGACGAACAAAGGAATAGACTATTTAAAACATGGCTGCCGACTCAAATGGCATGTAGGCTGACCGCGCCTGTAAAATGTGAGGACGATAAAATAATATATGGAAATAAGCAAGACAGATTAACACAATTAATAAAATTAACAACAAGGAATGATTTTGCAGAAATGTTGGAAAAATTAAAACCACACATTGATGAGGATATTTTTAGTTTTCTTGTAAAATTTGAAAATGCATATAGACTTGTTGGTAATTTTCCTGAGGATCAGTTAATTAATGAATTTGTGAAAAAATGTCAAGATCTAGATCCAACTGCAATTGTAATTGCTAGAGGAAAAAAAAAGTACTTTGAAGGAAGTTGCTTTATTCTTAGATAAAGTAAGGAGGTATCCAGACATGAAGGGGTTACACTGACTTGTTAGACGCAGAGAGAGAAGTGCAGATTTGACCCCCTCCTTTCCCCCCCTAGAACTCAGTGTGAAAGAGCGATACAGACACCTGAGCCACTCCCAATTGCCTCAACTACAAACACTCAAAGGCAGAATATAACTAAAGTTATTTGTGTTTGGTGCACATTATTTAAGATCTTGCAGATATTTGATTCTAGAGTTAAAGCCAGCACAAGAATAGAGATATGTGTTTGTTTGTTGTTTTACTAAATTGTTAGTCTGTACTGTTTTTTTATTGTTTTTGTTTATTTTTTTCATAGTTTTTATATATGTTATAGGAAAGCACTAGGTTAATTAATTAAAATAAATTTACATTAAGGTTGCAAGTGTCTCAGAATGAAATACACTAATGTAGCAGTTAGGAACATGCAATGTATGTTATATTGGGTGTACGCTATTATACAGTAACTCCAATCCTTTTTACAGAAGGAAAACCTTGTTACTTCTGGGGTTGAATTAAAATCTTTGATTTAATTCATGAGAATGAGAATTTAATATTATGACTGATAATGGATTACTGTATATTGCAACGCCTGGACATACACATGTTTTGGATATATTGAAGACAAAAGGAATAATATATGGGAATGGATAAGGCTGATTTCCCACTATCCATAGCCACACCTACTCCTAACGTAACATCACGTCCACCCTTACTATGCCCTTTTACTGTAGAATTGCCCGAATCCTAATGACCCATTCCACTACATGGTGTGACTTGTTTAAGCCTAAGATAAATTGGCTGATCAGGCTACCTGTATTACCAATGTCATCAACGATGAGTTAGCATCTGTGGAAAAGTATCACTTCAGGTTGTCCCAAATTTTCTTTTAACTTAAGTTTTAGTACATAATAAGGCCCATACCCAACGGCTACATGCAGCCTTGTATAGCAGGACACATGACATCTATTTGTAGCAAGCACGGCCTGCCTGACTCCTCATTCCTGTCTAACATTGTTGTCTCCTGCACAAGTGTAGATGGCTCTCTTTGGAGTAGCCTGTTAACTAAGCCTTGCTTTGTGGTTGCCCCCACCTGTCCAATTAATCTGCTAGGTGCAGATGTCCTTCCCCCACTTGCAGGCCTCTATCACCTTATTATTTCTTCTGTTCCACACAGTGAGACCTGACCAGGAGGCAAGGGTCCTAACTAGTTCCCCCAATACCTTTACCTGAATTATACAGGCTCCGAAGATTTTGTATACCTCAATTTCCCTCTCCCCCCCCCAAAGCCTGTCCAAGCTCTTACTATTCCCTAACAGGTTAAGGCTCTGGTGTCAAATGGTGCCCTGGTTCCCTGAGACTTTCCCTGCAATATCCCACCTCTCCTTGTGATGGACGAATTCTGTGCAGGATAGTGTCACCCTGCAGAGATGATACTCTATTACCTGGCCACTCTTCTGCCACTTCCCAGGGGGGGAAATGATAAGACACTGACTATTATTTTTAAAGCCTTTTCCTCATGATCTGTTCCGGATTTGCTGTCACTACAGTGGACCAAGTATCTCACCTCAACAATGTCTGCATAAGAAGCTGAGCTATAGGCTCCCATCACAGCATGCAAGATCTCTGAAGGAAGACTGAACTCAGAGGAAGCATGTGGCAACTCTCTGGCTGACCAAGTTGTCCAAGAAGTTGTAAGTGCACTAAGGGAAGTGGACAGAAAAGTGTAACTCTGTAATGACGACACTACATCCTGTAGAGGGGGTTTAGACAAGACCCCTTAGACTGTTAACCAATTGATGAATGTATACTGTATGTTAACTGTGACTCTGTACTGTTAAAGTAACTACTACTCACTTCCCCCCTCCCATCGTGTGACCAAGATGGAGCCGAAATATGGGTGGGAGAACTCTGTAATGACGACACTACATCCTGTAGGGGGGGTTTAGACAAGACCCCTTAGACCAGGGTTGTCAAACATGCGGCCCCCCAGATGTTGCTGAACTACAACTCCCATGATTCCCTGGCTATCTGTTTCATTGAAAGAATCATGGGAGTTGTAGTTCAGCAACATCTGGGGGGCCGCATGTTTGACAACCCTGCCTTAGACTGTTAACCAATTGATGAATGTATACTGTATGTTAACTGTGACTCTGTACATGACGTATTTCTGCTTTAAAAGGGAATTGCACCCCCTGGAATAAAGGCCACTCTGGAGTTATTCATAAACCTGCAATGTGTCCGGTGTGATTTACTTCCAGAAGACATGCGCATAATCAATTTAGAAAGGAGTAGATAGACAAATAATCAAAGTTTTCTTTGATCTAAAACAGAGTCATGGGGGTAGGCGGTTAAAAACCTGCTAACAGGTTTTTTTTTTGTAAATAAAGTTTTTATTAGCAGTTCAGACAATAACAGATAGCAGAGCTTATATCGTCAGTGAGACTCGCAGGTCTCCAATTGCGTCTGACATGAGTACCACCAGTTTTAGATGAATCTTTATAGAGCGTTATTGGAAGCGGATGACTGCTGGCCCACATCAGTGAGGGCAGTACAGTTCTATAGCTGAACCTCAATCAAATGGTGAGTAGTGCGGTAGGTCCCAGGTCACGTCCTCTTACATGGGGAGTGAGAAAGGGGTCATTTTGCGGGACCGGGTCCTATAGTCGTGCACCTGGTCTGGGACTCCCTTTCCTGTTGTCTTTCCCTTAACTTCGGTGGTGCCTAGGTATGTTGCGGGTTTTCTCCTGGGTCAGCTACCCTCTCGTTCTGAGTCCGCATCCCCTCCCCCGCCGCGAGGCGGTGCCATCATGACGGGAGGGGGGGGAGCGCCCAGCGGCTTGGTCAGCTGTCTCTGTCGCTTTGCTTACTTGTGGTCGGTCATCGTTGTCATGCTTCCGTCGCTGTCCACGTGTGGTATCTGTGGTGTGTCTGGAGTGTTTCCCCCCTTGGATGGGGATGGTGTGATGTCTCGGTGCTCAGTTGTATCAGTCATCTAGGGTTGACTTGTGTTTGCTGTTTATTGTAGGAGTTCCCACGTCATGGGACCCCCCCGAGTCTATTGAGCGATGTCTCGTTGGGCCCACGTCCCTTAGGGAAATCGTGGTGCCTTCTCGGGCTCAAATATATTGTGGCCCTGTTGCGCCAGGCGGTCCCCGACCTCGCCCGGGGAAAGAGAACCGGAAGAGGGGGGGAAGATAGGGATGGGTGGGGATGTGTAAGGATGGGAGGACTGGAAGGTGTGGGGCATAGCTATGGTGTGGCATGAGTCTATCTTGACTCCCGAGTTAGTCCATCAGGGCAGGTCCGGTTGAGGTGGGGGGGAGAGAAACCTGCTAACAGTTTAATTGATATACTATCTTTAAGAAGTGAGTTTTAAATGATTTTTTAAATGAGTGGAGACTGGGTGAAAGTCTTACAGAGAAGGAAGTTCCACAGAAGAGGTGCAGCCTTGGAGAAATCTTGGAGGCGAGCATTAGAGGTGGGAGTACGGACAGAGGATATGCATAGGTCTTTGGCAGAGCGTAGGGGTCTCGACGGGACATACTTGTTGTGACAAAGTGCCCTTCGCCACTTGGTCCTGGAGAGGCCTGCTTGCCAGCCTCCTCCCCTGTGACTATGACTCTTTCATGTATTTGGCTTTAAAGCCCCTAGTCTACCTTCAGACAGACTATTTATGTAGGCTGCTTTATTTATCTTATGTTTTAGTCACCGTGTACCCATTATAGGTGCAGGGTGTGTGTAATGTAATTGTTTATAGTGTGTGTGTGTGTGTGTACTGTGAAATGTATTGCCTGCTCTCCTGTACTGCTGAGGTTTGCTACCAACTAGGTGGGTTTGGCTATGGAGCTTGTCTAGTGCCCTCTGTTGGTAGCAACAGCAATATGCACTACCTGAAGTGCAAGACTGGTTTATTTGCATATTCGGGTAGATTTGCATATTGCTAATTCTGCAGGCAGGTGAGATATTTACTGTTAAATATTGTCTCCCCCACCCCTTTAAAAATGTGCCATTGTGTTGTGATAAGTCACTGTGTGTTGCCTGCTATGGTTTGACTGTTTTTGATTTTATTGAGGTTTCACAACAATGTTATTGTGGTGACCCTATGGGCTGGTCCCAAGGGAAATAAAGGTTTAGACAGTTCTTCTTGATCCCTCTAAATGTAGCCTTGTCTCGTTATTGGAGGGAGCTGTTATAATCACACTGGGGATTGCTATGCTCTGCATGCTCCCCTGAGCTTGAATCACTTAGCTCTTTTAAGAGCTTGTTCCTGACACGCTCTCCTTGGAGGAGGGGTCTTCACCACACAGTCCTGGATGCTGGAGGTTCATACAGGGTGGAAGGAAGAGTTCTTTCCCACACAGTCCTGGAAGACAGAAGCTGATCCAGGGTGGAAGGAAGACGGCGAGACTCCAGCCAAGATACAGTGGTTGCAGAGTCTGCGGGGGTTGTGGTGTCTGCTGCACTGCTTGGAGTCCTCAGGAAGCGCTAGGAGCATCCGTCAACGGAGGGTACTCAGTCGGAGTACAAGGAGCTCCGTTACATTGGTGGCAGCGGTGGGATGGCGTCCTAGTGCGCGGAGAAGCAGTTCGGAGACACTGGTATCGTATGAGAGGTTATTGAGGGCAACGCTAGCCACTGTGCAGCGTCCCTAACTACAGCAGCAGGGATGGATAGAGCCCTGCGAAGAGCACCTCAACATGATACGTCGCTACGAGGACGACGCTTACATTGAGGAGGTAAAGAGGCGGTTGGTCTGCTATGGACCAGACCTTTCGAACGAGGTGGTCCACCAAGTAATGCGCCAGTTGAGTGCTGAGAACAGTGCGGCAATGGCCTTTGAGAAAAAACTGTGGAGGTTGAGGATATGGACACCTAGTCTCCAGCAGCAGCGCAAGTTACAGGGAGCCGAAGGTGTCGTCCTTCCTCCCCAGCGGCAGTGCAAGTTACAGGGAGCCGAAGGTGTCGTCCTTCCTCCCCAGCGGCAGTGCGAATTCCAGGGGGCCGAAGGTGTCGTCCTTCCCCCCCAGCAGCAGTGTGTCCTACAGGGAGCAGAGACAGTTGGTCTCTCTCTCCAGCAGCAGGACAATGTTATGGGAGTGGAGACAGGCGGTCTCCCTCTCCAGCGGCAGCCTGTGTTTCAGGGAGAGGAGCACAGCACCCTATCTCCCCAGCGGCAGCTTACCCTACCAAAGGGAGACACCAATCTCCCAGATGGCGCAGAGGGGACCGTGGTCTCTGTGCCTGACCTACAGGGATGCTGGACAGCCTGTCCAGATCCCCAACTACCCTCACAGGGACAACAGGAGGAGGGGGTAAGTACGAATTCCCCTCCCCAGCTAACTCCTAACTTGGCCCCAGGGTTAACAGAGGAGATGTTAACCCCCACTGACTCCCATGTTCCCCTGGCTACTGAGCCGGACTATGTTCCCAGCACCCCAGCGGAAGAGCTGGCAGCTGGGCAGAGTGCAGTCGGCCTCTGCCCTCCCTTTGTCCCTTGTACAGAGCCTGATGTCCTGCAGGCTATACCAGCAGAAGAGCTGGCATCAGGGCAGACCGCCGCTGGCCTCTGCCCTACCGATCCCCTTGTCACAGGACTGGCCTGCACCCTCCTCCTCCCAGCAGAAGCACTGGCATCAGGGCAGAGCGCCGCTGGCCTCTGCCCCTCAAGTCCCTACAGCGTGTTGCCCCATCACCCCAGAGGAATACCCAGGTGCAGTCACTGTTTGCTGTGGGTGGGCTGCTCTAATAACTGTTTGTTGTGGGATCTCCCTTTGGATCTCATTAGGGAACACTGGGAGGGAGCAGTCACCAGTAACTGTACCCCTATTTTTCCATATGTGCTAGAGTTCAGGGAACGCTTGGAGGCTTTAACTCCAGGCGGCCCAACAACGACAGCGCCGATGGTACGATAGGGGGGCCAGAGACCGCAGTTTTCAAGTGGGACAAAAGGTACTAATCCTGAAACACATTCAGAATGACAAACTGCAGGCCTCTTGGCAGGGCCCATACAAGGTGGTGGAACAGGTGTGTGACACCACCTATGTGATCGGCCCGTGCACTGGAGCAGGCGGTAGGCACATGCTCCATGTAAATATGTTGAAGCCGTATCACGAACGTGCAGAGGAAGTAAATGCCATCTGCGTCTCGGCCGCGGAGGACCCCGTCAATTTGCCTCTTCCTGACCTACAAAAAAAGGGAGGCCAGGACGAAGGATTAGGGGAGGTACAGCTGGGAGATCGGCTGAGCCCCCCAAGAACGGGCCCAGATATTAGAATTAATCAGGGAAAAAGGGGACACATTCTCCAACTTGCCAGGATATACGTTATTAGCCACGCACAGGGTGGAAACCCCAGGGCAACACCCTCTCCGTCAACCCCCTTACCGCATACCAGAGTCCGTAAGGGAACATATTCGGAAGGAAATTGACGAGATGTTGCAACTGGGAGTGATAGAACACTCGGATAGCCCCTGGGCGTCTCCGGTAGTCCTAGTGCCAAAGCAGGACGGTACCACCCACTTCTACGTAGACTACCGTAAGCTTAATGATAAGACTATATCAGATGCCTATCCTATGCCCCGAATTGATGAGCTCTTAGATAAAATGGCCAGGGGCCAGTGCCTCACCACAATAGACTTGTGCAAGGGCTACTGGCAGATTCCACTAGCTGAGGACGCCATCCCGAAGTCCGCATTCGTCACCCCGTTTGGACTATACCAGTTTAAGGTCATGCCATTCGGGATGAAGAACGCCCCGGCTACATTTCAGAGGATGGTGGATCGGCTACTGGATGGGTCACAGGAGTATGCTTGCGCATACTTAGAAGACATAGCCATCTTTAGCAACTCCTGGGACAAGCATTTGACCCATATAGGAGCCATACTCAACCGCATTAGGGAGGCAGGGTTAACCCTGAAGCCTAGCAAGTGCCACGTAGGGATGGCCGAAGTACAATACCTAGGGCATAGGGTAGGGAGTGGACAACAAAAACCTGAACCGGCAAAGATAGAGGCCGTAGCAAAGTGGCCGACCCCCCGCACTAAGACCCAAGTCCTAGCATTTCTGGGTACCGCCGGCTATTACCGGAAATTCGTGCCCAATTATAGCGCCATAGCAAAGCCCCTCACCGACCTTACCCGAAAAAACCTTCCCAAGATAGTTACCTGGAGCCCAGAGTGTGAACAGGCATTCCAGGAACTGAAAACCGCGCTTATACATGCACCTGTACTTGCTGCTCCTGATCCAACTAAACGCTTTCTCGTCCATACAGATGCTTCTATGTTTGGATTTGGAGCAGTGCTGAGCCAATTTGGGGCCGATGGCGGCGAGCATCCAGTAGCTTACTTAAGCCAAAAACTGTTGCCCAGGGAAGTAAGCTATGCCGCCATCGTGAAGGAATGCCTGGCCGTGGTGTGGGCCTTCAAGAAGCTGCAACCCTATTTATATGGACAACAATTCTCACTGCTCACAGATCACAACCCGTTGGTGTGGCATAGACTTTCGGGATGGCATAGACTTTCGGGACTTTTTACATGTGCACTGAGAATCTTTACTCCTCAATAACTCCCGAACCCCTGGTCCGATCTGGGTGATTTTTGAGTATGTTTCTCACCCAGATCAGGGCTACCAGGGGATACCTCGTGTAAAGGTGTACCCCCCATATTTTGGGTACATCCGAGAATTGGTGGAAAATGTGCACATTTTAATAAGGTTAACTGTTAAGCTAAGGGGAGGAGATGCGGGGGAGGTACCGACTATGTGATTGGATACTGTAATGTGACGAGAGCAATCTCGCCACATTGCATTGGAGAAGCCTGGTTGCTCGCCTGTTGCCTTTGGATTATGGCCCCATGTTAAAAGGCTTGATTTTCCACTGCAAAGACAAGAAAGCCGGGTCATTTGGTGCTTGCCCTGTTTGAGCAGTGATACCCCAGATAGCTATGCCATGGAGCCCATTCGTATAATGAAAGACTATGGGAAAGACTTTGGCTCCATGTCAATTGAACTGTATGTGTGTGCTCCGAGCACCATTCAGTAATAATGTGCGCTCAGACCTAAGCTATCTGGGCATATGTTGCATGTCTGTATTTTATGTCATAAATGTAACCTTGTGTAATTTATTGTATTTTACTGTCTTTTTGCTGCCATGTGTTCAATGGAGTTTTGCTTCTGTCTTTGGAGATAATTGGATTACTTCTAATTATCTCCAGGATAGAAGACTCTGTGGAACTGGTTTTGGGCAGAAAAGCCATGCTTCCTGTGGTCACAAAGGACTACGATCTATCTTTTGAACCACTGGACCAATTTGTATGATTTTGACGTATGTTTGTATTTGGAGTATGCTGATTCTGAAAATGTAATGTTTTATGTGAATGTGATGCATACTTTTCAAGTCATGAATAATGTGGAAAAATTGTATTTCTCTGCTTGTGCTAAATTACATTACCCATTGTGTAAGGTAATTGAATCATAGGCAGAGGGGAGGAATTTGTGTGGGAGTGTCTGAGTGTATTGTATGTGTTTATTGGTTGTGTTCCAAAACCCTGTGGGTGGTACTAATGTGTAAGAATGTGTACATAAGCACAATAAACCCACAGCTCTGACTGTTCACTGCTTGAACCTCAACACGGAGCTTTGTCTCGTTCTTGGGGGGATTTATTGTATGCTGTTCCAGTTTGACTGCTAGGAGTGTAAACCTATTCGGATGGTTTTTCCTATTCGGCTGGTTACAGCATTCATATGGTTTCCTGTTCGGCGGATTGGTGTTCTGCAGTAGCTGTGCCTGCATCTCTGCAAAGGGGGACGATCGCCTAAACGGTTTTTACCCCTTATGTGCAAAACGGTCCGTTACATGTAATAATTATGGAAGTTGCCTCCCTTGCTTTACATGTACTGTGGCTGCTCACTGTTAAAAAAATAAAAAATAAAAAAGGTACTCTCCCCTGGCCCCCACCCCTGAGAGGTGGGTGGGGGCCCTAAATTAGAATGAGGGTGGGACACCCAATGGGGGGACACCCACTCAGTGGTGGGGGCCCTAAATTCTAACTAGGGGGACCTAATGTCCTACCCCCTGGCCCCCACCCCTTAGTGGTGGGTGGGGGCCCTAAATTAAAATGGGGGGGACATAATGTCCTGGCCCCCACCCCTGAGCGGTGGGTGGGGGCCCTAAACACTAATTGGGGGGGGACCTAATGTCCTCCCCCCGGCCCCCACCCCTGAGCGGTGGGTGGGAGCCCTACATTAGAATGAGGGGGGACCTAATGTCCTCCCCCCTGGCCCCCACCCCTGAGCAGTTGGTGGGGGGCCCTAAATACTAATTAGGGGGGACCTAATGTTCTTCCCCCTGGCCCCCACCCCTGAGCGGTGGGTGGGGGCACTAAATTTGAATGAGGGGGGGGACCTAATGTCCTCCCCCCTGGCCACCACCCGTGAGCAGTGGGTGTGGGCCCTAAATACTAATTATGGGGGGGACCTTATGTCCTCACCCCTGGCCCCCACCCCTGAGCGGCGGGTGAGGGCCCTAAATAAAAAATTAACCCCTCCTCCCCCAGGTGTCTAGGGGTCCCCAACCCCCTAGTCACCCCCCTCCCGCCAACATTTTTTTGCAGGCTTCAGAGAGTCAGAAACAGATATCGTGCAGAGCCGATCATGGGTGGGTGCACGTGG